TAAAGTAAGACTTGTGTTTTGGATTTTTTCACAGATTTCTTGCTATATTCATATGTAGAACAAAATGACATTTTTATATATTTTGTATAGTTTGTAATGTTAAAAGAACACAGAGAGGAGCGGGGGTGTTTGGAATGAAAGTGGCCTCCCTTTTCTGTGCTCATGCACTTGCTCCTTAACTCTATGCTCTCACCACTCCTCTTTATTAGCAGGCTTTCTCTCTCCATTGGCACCGGCTGACTGCCATATACATTCTGATTTAAATTTTAAAAATGTCTATGTCACAATATATATTTACATACTTTTATGAGGCCGGGCTTTAGCACAGCAGATTATTCACCAGTTGAAGCTGCAGTAAATCTAGCCAACCAAAAGGTTGACAGTTCAAAGCCCGGGTCAGGGTGAGCTTCTGACCTTCGGCACAGCTCCCCGCCCACCTAGCGAATCAAAAAGAGCAATGTGAGTAGATAAGTAGGAACTGCATCAAAGCATGGAGGTATTTTAGGCACGGCATTTTGATCAGAGGAGCCCCTGGTGGCGCAGTGGGTTAAAGCCCTGTGCCGGCAGGACTGAAGACCGACAGGTCGCAGGTTCAAATCCGGGGAGAGGCGGATGAGCTCCCTCTATCAGCTCCAGCTCCTCATGCGGGGACATGAGAGAAGCCTCCCACAAGGATGATAAAACATCAAAAATCATCTGGCGTCCCCTGGGCAATGTCCTTGCAGACGGCCAATTCTCTCACAACAGGATGCTCCTGCTCCTGACACGACAAAACAAAATTTCGATCAGAAAAAAGGAGGACATTTATGAACAAAGAAAAAGCTCTTTGGCAAGGAGATGGAGCGACATCACCCCCTGTGGCTGGAACCGAGCGCAGCCTCTAAAAGATGCCAAAAGATGGGAAAGTCTATACATATACCTCTATCTGTTGTCTGTCTTGTAATTGTATAACCGGCATTGAATGTTTGCCACATATGTGTTCTGTGATCCACCCTGAGTCCCCTTCGGGGTGAGAAGGGCGGAATATAAATACTGTAAATAATACTGTAAACGATTGAACTTGGCAACTTTTTGACTTGGAAAAATAGTGTTCAACTAGAGATTTAACCTATAATTTATAAGAAATGAACTCATTCTAGCAGTCAGCATTGTGTGAGTGAGTGTGTGCCATCTTCCTTTGATGTATAATTTTACAAAGTGGTTTCAGTTTTAGTCTGGAAAAATATCCAGACACTCAACAGAATGTAAATAAAAACAAACTGACTGGGAACGAATCCTGCTAGTAGGATCCCGGATGACAGCCAGTGTAAAGATTTCTAAGTACCCCATGATCATTAGATTAAAACCTCTTGTGTTCTTGACATATAACAATCACAATTTTGATTGGACAGCTGGCAGGCTGAGTGCGCATAAGGATAAAAAGAGCCAGATGGAACTAGCAAATTAGGCTGCCACCCGGTATGTCTACACTGTATCTAGAGGGATGTTTGACAAAAGGCTGGGTTGTGCCTGATGAAAGGATACAACCCAGGATGTTGTAAAATAAGGTGACGCTTAAATAGATATAAAATAGAGATGTATATCCCATTATGTCTGTAAACGGATGCCTGATAACATGTTTATAGTAACAGATGCTGTTAAGATTTAACAATGCTCAAGGAGATTAACCCTTGAATGCTTGTGTAGTAAGGAGCTGTTAGAGATGTATAGTGCCTTAAACAGAGGAGAATGCATACCTGAATGAGCAACTAATTAATTTGTATTTCTAAGATAGTGATGCATAAAACACAAGGGACATAGTTCTGTGCTTATTATTATTATTATTATTATTATTATTATTATGCAAAAATACTGTGGAACTTTCGAATCCAGTCTTGACAAAGTTTTGGAACACAATACACCAGACATCACGATTGTGGAAAAGAAAAAAGTTTGGATTATTGATGTTGCCATACCAGGTGACAATTGCATTGAGGAAAAACAACAGGAAAAACTCAGCTGTTATCAGGACCTCAAAATTGAACTGCGAAGGCTGTGGCATAAACCAGTACAGGTGGTCCCAGTGGTCATTGGCACACTGGGTGCCATGCCAAAAGATCTCAGGCGACATTTGGAAACGATAAACATTGACAAATTCACGATCTGTCAACTGCAAAAGGACGCCTTACTTGGATCTGTGCGGCATTTGAAAATACATCACACAGTCCTAGACGCTTGGGAAGTGTTTGACTTGTGATTTTGTGATACAAAATCCAGCATATAGATTTCATTTGCTGTGACATACTGTGTTTTTGTGTCAATAAAATAATAACTATTTATATCCTGCCCTAACTCTGGGTAGTTTCCAACAAAAAATGGCAAAGATTCAATTACATAATTAATGAAACAAAAGCAAATAGACAACCTAACCAAAACCCAGAAATAAATCCATATATGGAAATTTCTCTGAAATGTCTGTGTGAAGCCCTAACAGATACTATGGAAATTATGAAATAACATATTGTTAGGAAAAGGTGTTGCTAATCTATTAAATAGTACATAGTTTGTTATGTGGCGAGAGAAGAGACCACAGGCACTACCTGGTCTAATCCCCTGCTATGCAGGAACACTCAGTGGAAGTCACTATGAAATGTCACAATGAAAGGGTTAACATCTTAAGGGCTGTATAATGTAAGGAACGATATATAAGATGTCTTACATGCAATGGAAAACTGCACAACATAATGAAGTTGAGTGACCAGACACTGTCATGTCTGTGCTTCTCCCTTAAGGGTAATCTTATATTTATATAGCTACTAACTTGAGTACCCAGTGTTACATGGTTATTTAAAAAAGTCAATTTTTTAAGTGTACAAAATGCATAAGGATATGGGTGAACTCACATCATGCCAGGTTAACCCTGAGAAACTCAATCAGTACTTCAAGTTTGTTAAGGCAAGTTTACTCTAGATGCATCATCAGAGGGGTTCAGTGTGCTCTCTGGCAGTAGGATAAATTACAACTCCCACTATGGTCCCCTCAAACCACTCCAGTAGGTTAAGTTAGTCATGGGGGTTCTGTGTGCCAAGTTTGGTCCAGGTCTATCATCAGTGGAGGTCACTGTTTCTCTGGTTGTGGGTGAACTACAACTCCCAAAAAGGAAGGTCACTTCCCTCCCAAACCCCTCCAGTAATCAAATTTCAGCATCAGGTATGTGTGCCAAGTTTGGTCCAGATCCATCGGTGTTTGGGTTCACAGTGCTCTCTGGATGTAGGTGAACTACAACTCACCCAAATGAAGGTGAATTTTCCCCAAAGACCTCCAGTATTTTTTGCTGGTCATGGACGTGTTGTGTGCCAAGTGCGATCCAATTCCATCTTTGGTGTTCAGAGTTCTCCTTGATTGCAGGTGAACTATAAATTCCAGTACCTACTGCGGGGATCGAACTCTTCACTGCCTAAGTCTGAAGCACTCAATGAGGAACAGGTTTAATTAGTTTAATATAGACTAAGGGTTTCCCTTCCTCCATGTTTCCTGAATGACAGTTGGGAATGTGCCTTTTTCTTCTTTCTTCTCTTTCTGCTCTCATTCCGATTGGTTATTTAAAATGGATACTTTTCTACTGTAGGTCTTTTTGAATCTGACTTCTGCCTTCTTACACCTCAGTATGGGGAGTATGTGCTGTGTGCTTGGAGATCTCTCTCTCTGCTTGTGTGACAGGGAGATGTAGTGGTTTGTGTTTTTCCCTCTTTTTGAAACTTTAGAATAATTTTTTTTAACTTTAGAGAAGCTCAAACCCAGTTCTTGATTATTTAGAAATGCAGTTATTTCTTATTATTGTAAGTTAATCTTTTGTGATTTTTAAAGATTGGACTCTGCATGTTTGCCTCCTAAGCTCTGAATTCTTTACAGCTACATCACACAGCACTTCACACTTTGCTAGTTGTGAGCTAAATGCTCAATGCTCAACTTTTAGTATCCTGTTTGTTTTTGGATTATCTGCTATATTTTAGGATAGTACAACTCCAAAATGTCCATGAAAATTCCCCTCAAAACCCACCAGGACCCAAATTTGGGCATATCAGGTATGTATGCCAAGTTTGGTCCAAGTCCATCCTTGTTTGGATTCATAGCGTGCTCTGGATGTAGGTGAACTACAACTTCTATAAATCCCTTCAAAGACCTCCAGTATTTTTTGTTGTTCATGGGGGTTCTGTGTGCCAAATTAGTTCCAGGTCCATCATTAGTGGAGTTCAGAGTGCTCTTAGATTGCAGATGAACTATATATCCCAGTACCTAGAATTCTTATAAATTATTATGAATTCTCTCCAAACCTCTCTAGAATGTTCAGATGCTAATCAATTCCTCTGTTTGCTCTGTGCCATAGAAAAGAATAGGAAAGGGTTAAGGGAGAGGCAGTGGGCGGAGTCATGCAAATTCCACACCAATGGAAAGAGTAAGAAAACTGGGATGCATGTGCTGGAGGAAACACATAAAATCTAGGATGAAATTGTCCCTGTATGAAAGCCTTCATCCGGTGATGGGGTGTGTGGTGTTTGTGGAGGACATTGGCAGGGCTCTTGTACATGTTCATGGTGCTCACTATAACCTGAAGTGTCACTGGAGAGAGGGTTTTTGGTGTCTCCTGAGGAGTGGGAGCTATAGCTGTCTGTGGAAGCGGGAGCTTGCCTGTGTAAGTGGACACCCCAGCCACACATACATTCATATTTTCACTTTTATTATGTGTATAGATGAATATATATAAACTGTTGCCCATGTTATTTAACACTGACGTTTTACAGAACAACTCATGTGTATCAATACACAGCTGTGGATCACGACAAATTTTTTTACTGTTTAGGATTCATAGTTTAGGATTCATAGTTTGTAGATCTTCAATGTATGCATTTGACAGGATATTTAGACTGTGGCATTGTTTCAATGATTTCTCTTTTTTTCCCATAAAAGGACAACTAGTAAAACCAAAAGTTTTAAAAAATCCATTAATTGGAGATTTACAATTGTATTATAACAAAAAATTTAATTCATAAGTATCATTACTTACTCCATTGAATTAGCACAAAGCTTTTTTTCATAACATTACCTAATAGGTAAGAGAGCTTAGTTATTACATATATTACAACATTCACATTTTACAGCTCTGTGGCATTCAAAGAGAACCCACAACTATAGTAAGAAATTACAATGCAGAATGTTAGAAGCATTTCAAATAAAATAATTAACAATAATTAAAGAGATTGAATATTTGCAGCAGAAATGGGAAAAACTAAATTGTCAGTTAATCAAAATCTGTTCTCATTTGATCGACACTGAACAAATGACAAAATTTCATTAACTGTGTAAGACATATACAGTTTTTTTTTATCGTGTTAGAAAGCTCAGCACTTCTTACATGAATCTTCAATGACTTTCAAAATCAACAGAAAATCGAGTTGTCTTTATGTGGCATCATTTTCTTTCAGTCTGTTGTAACCATTTTAACACTTGGAAGTTAATTATGGGGAAATAAAGTAAGTACTATATTTCCACATCAGCTATATTCAACAGAGACAGAAGGAACATACGGCAGAGCCTATTTTGACCAAACTGCATTTCTACAAAGCTCGGCTTAATGACAACAGATGGGAATTATATCCGCCAGGGATTGTAATCACCTTGATTGTGCTAATAGCCCTGAAAATGGGTGGAATGAGATTTTAAGGACTGTTGTCTCTGAGTATTTCCTTTACAAAATTACTGCCATTTAACATGATCCTTGTAATGTTAGATCAGGGTGAATCATCCAAGTCCTTCTGGGGATGTTCTAAAATATTTGTTTGCTCACATTCTTGACCTCAGCTGGCCTACAACAGGCTTATTATTGCAAAATTCAAGCCACCAGGATGGCCTCTCCAACACTTTTTTGCCTTGAAGAACACTGCTCCACAGGTTTCTATAAAGCTAGAAGGAGAAAAAGCAAATAACAAGAATCATTGTAGTTTTAACCTGAAGTTGTAATAGCCTAATGCATTTTCAAATGGAATAGCACAGGCATGGGCAAACTTCAGCCCCCCAGGTGTTTTAGACTACAAGTCCCATAATTCCTACCAGCTTAATGGTACAGTGTCTCTGCCTGTCTTTATCTTTCCTATGCCTGGTATAGCATCTCTGCCTATCTATCTTTCCAGAGTGACCAGATGCATAAAGGAGAAGTACAGTAATTATCATGAGGAGAGTATCTCTCTTAAAAAATCAATTTTCTATTATGTATAACAGGCAGGTTTTCTTTTTTATGAAGTACAGCAGAAGCATTTTCTGCAGATTCCACCGATTTTACATTGTTTTTATATTGTTTGATGTGTACATTCCACTTTGTAGCCCCATGTAGCTACAAAGTGGAATCCACGACATGCGAGTGTGGAGAAGAGCAAACTACAGACCACCTGCTGCAATGCAACCTGAGCCCTGCTACATGCACAATGGAGGACCTTCTTGCAGCAACACTCCAAGTGGCCAGATACTGGTCAAAGGACATTTAATCAACTACCAAGCTTGCAAATTTTGTGTTTTTCTGTTCGTTTGTTTTGTTCTGTTAGAAATGTAATACAATTGTTTGGTTGCCCCTGACACGATAAATAAATATGTGTACATTTATATTGATTCTGTATTTTTTCTGCTATGTTCTTGCTGTATATTGTTTGATTGTACTACTGGGCTTGGCCTCATGTTAGCCACCCCGAGTCCCCTTGGGGAGATGGTGGCGGGGTATAAATAAAGATTATTATTATTATTATTATTATTATTAACCACTGAATGCTGTTACTAACAGATTTGTGTAAATGTCTAGGCAGCGTTCAGACACTTTTTACTGTTGCCAAATTTCTGTGGCCCCAATACTGAGGTAAGAGGACCCCCTTTGGGGTCAGGTCCCACACTTTAAGAAGCAGTGCTGCAGAAAGAGGGACAACACATGGAGGGCATGGAGCCATTGTCTTCAAATGTTGTACTCTCCTGGGTCATTTAAGGCAAAGGAGACTTTTTTTTTTTTGGCAATGGCCTACATATTCTGTTTGTTTTAAAAGGGGGACTATGTTGAGCCTGGGAACGTGAAACATGGGAAAAACATCACACCTAGAGGGCATTAGGGGACATTTTGGAGCAAAACAGTTTTAGTTTTTATGGGGGGGGGGGCACATGGCCCCTTCCAGCAGTCAATTTCTCTGCCCACCCCATAAAAACTAAAACAAATGCTCTTTTTTATCCAGTCTTCTTGCCCCTTCTGAGTTTCTCGCTCTCAATTCTGTTTCATCTTAAAAAAAACTAAGTTAATTTTAAAAAGGGAAGCACTGTATGTATAACTGCAAACTCAGCCCGCAATTGTAACCCACTTGTAGGTTCCAGCTCACCAGTGAAAGAGCAGTGGTTTGAGTAAATAAGCAAATATAAATTATGTTGTTGTTGTTCATTCGTTCAGTCGTCTCCGACTCTTCGTGACCTCATGGACCAGCCCACGCCAGAGCTCCCTGTCGGCCGTCTACCACCCCCAGCTCCTTCAAGGTCAGTCCAGTCACTTCAAGGATGCCATCCATCCATCTTGCCCTTGTCGGTCGTCACCCTCTTCCTTCCACTTTCCCCAGCATAATTGTCTTCTCTAGGCTTTCCTGTCTCCTCATGATGTGGCCAAAGTACTTCAACTTTGTCTCTAGTATCTTTCCCTCCAGTGCGCAGTCGGGCTTTATTTCCTGGAGGATGGACTGGTTGGATCTTCTCGCAGTCCAAGGCACTCTCAGAACTTTCCTCCAACACCACAGTTCAAAAGCATCATCTTCCTTCACTCAGCCTTCCTATGGTTCAGCTCTCACATCCGTAGTTTACTACGGGGAATGCAATTGCTTTAACTATGCGGATCTTCGTTGCCAGTCTGATGTTTCTACTCTTCACTAGACCTATTTTATCGAGATTGGACATTGCATATAAATTATATGAAAAGGAAATTACAACACTAAAACTGAACTAGAACTTCAGTCTAGAGCTAGGCTTCTTAAACGTTTTACACCTGCCCAAGAAATTGTGTCATGACCCCTTTCATCCTGAGAAAATTTGATGTATATAAAGTAGGCATAGAAATCAAACATTTCCTGATAATAAATCAGCATTTGCAACACTTGCTAAACTAGCTGATTTTTCTTTTTATGAAGGATAGCTGAAGCATTTTCTACAGAGTCCAGTATAAACACCGAAAGCTGTTGCTAACAGATTCAAGTCAATGTCTGTGTGACATTCAGAAAACTTTTACTGTTGTCAATTTTTTCATCACCCCAACATAGTGCTAAGGGGACCCCATTTGGGATCGGGACCCACAAATTAAGAAACAGAATCAGTTTCCAGCTGATAAAAGTCTGATCACCTCTGAATTAGGACCCATCTGTATTCTTGTGAGCACTTGTGAGCATAAGGTATTGTAGCCTCTTGCCAACAAGCAAAGAGATAAATTGATTTATGAGGGACTGATGTATTTTTTGCAATGGCTGAAGCTTGTAAAAATAAAAGGTCTTATAATATTTTGTTACTGTTCCCCCAAACTGAGGTAACTCAGGCTCAAAAATCAGAATCTGGAATGTGCAATTTCACCTTGAGGCCACTCTTAGAACAATTCCTAGCACCAAGAACAGATATCCATGTCTGAAATGCTTGCTTGGATGCATCCCCCCCTCCCCATTCGGTGTTTAGCTGTAACACGCAATGCTTAAAAAGAACGTTCAATAAGACACAGGAAACATGTGTCAGAGCTTTGCAAAAATATTTTTTTACCTCTCCATCCGCCTTGCCAAGAGGAGAGTTGAGAATGAAGTCAGGAGGAGCAATAACATCTACTAAAGCCACAGCTTCTTGCTTCAACTATGCAGGGGAAGAAAAATGGAAATTACATTGAGGTCTTATGGCTGCCCATAAACTATGGAGCAGTAGCATAATTGTTAGGAAAAACCACTAAGCAATAGTTTAGTGACCATATCTATTTTTGCTTGCACTTCAAAACAGTTTGTTCCAAATTCATGCTTTTGCACATGACTCTGTGCTGCAGAGCAGAAGGGAAGCAGTCACTGGCTTTTGCAATTTGCCAAGTCCCAACTCTTGCTTCTGGTTACATTCTCTTCTATTGCTTCTCTTGTAACAGGTGAAGGGACAGGTGTTAGTTTTTAGGCTAGAGCGATTTTTAAAAGGGGTTTGGCTACACAAAACAAGATTAACACATTGGCCAAAGCCTGAGGTGAGCTTTCATAAATAAGGAGAAAAATTTTGTGCACATGCAAATGAGTAATGACTCGAGAACAGAGGAATAGAAAACAAGGAAATAGGATTAAGGCGAAGTTTTTTTTCATGTCAGGCGCGACTTGAGAAACTGCAGGTCTCTTCTGGTGTGAGAGAATTGGCTGTCTGCAAGGACGTTGCCCGGGGGGATGGATGGATGTTTTACCATCCTGTGAGAGGCTTTTCTCATGTCCCCATATGAGAAGCTGGAGCTGACAGATGGGAGCTCACTCCACTCCCCGGATTTGAACCGCTGACCTTTAAGTCAGCAGTCCTGCTGGCACAAGGGTTTAACTCACTGCGCTACCAGGGGCTCCACAAAACTGTGTTCTACATATCTGGATAAGGTTTAGGACAAGAATCATATAGTTATAGGAATCAAAGATGATGCACCTACAAAAGGCTTGGCATTGTCGGAGCTGTTCTTTAAGCAGATGCCGGGTGTTAAACTCCAGGAAACAACACTTTCACGCCGGATAATGAAGATCATTTCACCATTACAATTTCAGTTTATCTCTTGTGTTCATCATTAGGAACACTTAGCATAAATATTCAGGCTTTTAGATGTGGTACCAAAATACAACAAATCGTAAGAGTTTTTGAGCAATTGTGGATGTAGAATGAGCACTCTGAAAACAATGTCTAGATAGAGTCACACGATGGTCTAAAACTGAAACATGTGCCTATTGACCATAAACATAAACATGCCATATTAAGGCCACAAATCACACTGTCTTGCGCATGAATGGCATTTTCCACAGAAAGCAAATCAAACTGCTGAAACATGGCACTGTATCACTGCAAGTGGGTAACTCTTTATCTCAGAATAAATAAAAGATACACTCTGCATGTCTCCTGTGTTACTATCACTTTCAAGAGAAGAATTTAGTGTAGCCCTTTGCCTGGTACACCAATTTTACACTAGACAGAAGACTGTTTGTAGGACAAGGAAGAGAATAAAAAAAAAAACCCAATACATGCAGTGAATTTACTTAGATGTCATTGTGCTTTCAAGATCTAAGTGTCACCTCATTAAATATAACATGTAGAATGAGTTATATTAAATATGTGTTTTATAGAAATATGTTTTAATATGTGCATTCTACGGAGTGTTTTTAAATGATTATGCATTTTGATGATGTGTTTTAGCAAAGTTGTAACCCACTTTGAGTCATGGGGAGAGACGGGTAAGAAATAAAACAATAATAATTATTGTTATAACATGTGCATGTTTCTGAACTGAAAAAGACATAATTCCCTCTCCTCCACCAGTGACATACACAGCATTGCTCTCACCACAAACAGACTACTTTTTGAAATCTTCATTAGAGCAACAGCCTGGTGCTTTATCTTCTTCTGATGAGACTGACATTGATTCTTTAATTGCTTAGAAGAGATGAATATAATCAACCCGACAATCATTTGTGATTTTTTTTTTTTGGTCATGTCAGGAGCAACTTGAGAAACTGTGTGAGAAAATTGGCCATCTGCAAGGACGTTGCCTAGGGGGCACCTGAATGTTTTGATGTGTTACCATCCTTGTGGGAAGCTTCTCTCATGTTCCCTTAGGAGGAGCTGGAGCTGATAGAGGGAGCTCATTCACACTCTCGCCGGATTCGAAACTGCAACCTGTTAGTCTTCAGTCCTGCCGGTACAGAGGTTCAACCCACTGCGCCATTGGGGGCTCCATCGTTTGTGATGAAAAAAACAGGAACGAGGTTCGGAACCCCGAGAAGTAAGTGGACTGGAAAACTTTATGCAGGACTGATGAAGATGTTAAAACTAAACAATTATTTACTTAGCATTATTATTAACATAACTGAGAACATACCTTTGAACAAAGCTCTAGAATTGCATCTTGGACAAATCTACCAGCATTTTCACCTGAAATGTAGCCCCCTGAAAGACATTTATAATGACAATGAAGCCAAATAACACTTTAGATGTACAAGTGTATCAGTTTATAAATGTAATGCTTCTTAAGACCCAAACGGTTTAGGCCTGAAATATTGCAGGGTGCAATCCTATAAAAACAATAGGAATTATGTCCCACTGAATTCAATAGGGCCTATTTATGAAAAGATATGCAACAATGGGAGCACGTCTTTCTAGGGCATACTGTCTGTTCTGGTGAGGACTGTGTGACCTCTCATTCTTGCTGAATCCTAGTGAACAGGCTTGGCCTTCAACGATGGATGAGGAGGGGTCTTGGACTATTTAAATCTAATCTAACGACTTTGCCTCTGAAAAAGCAAGACTCCAAGCTGGCTATGATACTCTGAAGAGCAGGTAAAGTATATATTTATCACTACAGACTTCAACTGAGGTGTGGATGCTAAGAAGCTGTAATCAGAAAATTATCCAAGGCCTGACACTGATACTATGACACACACACCCCTCATTAGCTTCATCTTTGTTAGGTGGTAGTGAAGTGCTTGTTTGGTGGTAGTGAAGAGTCTGTTCAGCCATGATCAATACCGTCATTGATTTTTCTAGCCCAGAATCTTGAAGAGATATGGAAAAAAAATCTGCTGCTCTTTTAATCAGGAAAGCAGACAGGAATTTGGTGGGTAACTCCTAACTTCTAGATATTGGCTTTTTCAAGCTTGCCTTCCATTTCTTGAAGCGGTCCTACCCCAATTCAAAATATTATCTTGTGTACAAAAGCAGAAATGCTTTCTTTGGATAAGACAAGAACATAAGAAAGAATTGCTCCTGTTGTGAGAGTATGCAACAGGGCTTGTAGATCAATAAAACAATCTCCTCCTTTGTTTCCTTTTCTTTTTTATTCCATCCTTGACTTTCAACATATCTACTGTAAAGACTGAGATAATGTGAAATAAATGTTTTCACACATCTTAAAGAATCATATCATTGAAATAAAACCACAACGATCAAATTCTACAGAGAGGAAAAGAAAGGAAACGAAAAAAGGAAAGATTTGATTACGTAAAGGAAATATCTTACAAAAATCAAGAAACTTTCGAGATAGTAAGCTTCCACCTCAAGATAATATATGTCAAAAGCCCTTTATGTTGCAGGCAAAATCTTGATCTTACCTTGGTAAAGAACTGCCATGTGCTTATTCAAAGACCACAGTCCATAGAGTGAACAGATCTGTTTCAATACTGGCTGAAGGCTAGCTGGTGTTTTGGAGCTGTGAACATATTCATAGTATCTTTGCAAAACAACATGTTCAATAAAAGCTATAGCTAAAGAACGACAGTGGAACACCTTTAAAACGAAAGAAAAACAAAATTCAAAGTGAATGTGAATAGTAAATTTACCCCCCCCCCCCAAAGAGATATATAATTGTATTCTTTTATAACAGTAAGAAGTGTCTGCTGTGGACTCATCTTGTTGTGTTTTAAATAATAATAATACTTTATTTATATTCCTCTCTATCTCCCCGAAGGGACTCAGGGCTGATTCCAAATTGAAAAATATATATATAAAAAGCAGAACAGCAAAATAGAGACATCTAAGTCCAAGAATATTCAATAGTCCATAAAATCCCAGATACAAAAGTTGAATAAAAAAAACAGGAATGCAAAAGAATCAGGATACAACAAGGCAAATCCACATGACAGAACCCAAGAATAATCCTTTAAACTTGAATAACGGAAGACATGAAACTATAACTCCCTTGAAAAACTTGGCTAGAACTCAACCCAAGATGTTAGTTAAAATCCAATGATGACCAGACTGGGGGTAATCCTTTCCATGTCTCTAATAAAGCCACGAAATCATTCAATTTACCCTTGCAAACAGATAGTGGCTTTTTCTCTAATAAGCGCAATGACCTTCGAAGAGACTAAGCATCAGCTCAGAGGTCACGAAAGCTGTGCCTCCTATCTTTTGGCTCATTAGGCTCTCTACCTGGCATTTTATCTTCTGAACTTGCTTCCCTAGAGAAAGCTGGGCCCTTCTCTGGAATGTGGCCTTCACTAACTACAGGATACACAGAAAGCTCAATTTCAGGACTTAAAATCCCTTGCCTTAAAACCTCTTGCTTGCTCACAGGCTCAGGAGGCCCAGAAATCCCATCATCCATTTCCTCATTGACATTAGGTACAAACATTGGCTGAATTACAACACTGTAGACTTGGGGAGTGTTGGAAAATTCCAACCAACTGATCAATCCAGGACGTGCATGCACTTTGCACTTCAATTCCAGGTTGCCTACCCATTACACATGGCCATTGGTTTGGCAGAAGGACAGCATGGTATGAGTGGGCAGATGGAGCTTTTCAACTTTCCCTGTCTGCAGCAGCTGAATGCATTTAGATTTTTCCCTCTCCTGATGCCTGTGGCTTTGTGTAAATCAAGCTGATGGGCCCTGAATCCCCTTCCCCTTCCTTCCTCTCTCCTTGTTCCCCCAATTATCAAATTTCTGACAATGGGGGAACAAGAGCTCCTTGACAAAAACTGTTATTAACTCCCAGTTACCAGGATTCAAAGACACTTCTTGTGTCCATTCATTGCCTTCCTCCTTTGAATCTACCTCTCCACGTGCTATCATGAGTGCTTTACTCATCTTATATCATCATAGTGCTTAGGACATTCACTATTCTATTCTGAAGCTCTCTCTGTCTGGTGGTCATCTTAATTTGCTGGGGGGTTTTTTCAGTCTTAAAAACTGCAACTTTCTTCTTACACTATTTCTTGCTTATTCTGTAACCGACAGTCTTCTGTTACATTTTTCCAAGAACATTTCTACTTTCCAAATTCAGTCTGTTCCACGGGAACTGTAATTTCCACCTTCACACATTTTCTGCTTGAACTTCTACTTAAGCTGTTTGCCTTCCTGTTCAGTCCAACATTCCCATTCAAAATCTTTCATAGAATCAGAGAATCAAAGAGTAGGAAGAGACCTCATAGGTCATCCAGTCCAACCCCCTGCCAAGAAGCAGGAATATTGCATTCAAATCAGCCCTGAGAGATGGCCATCCAGCCTATGTTTAAAAGCTTCCACCACACTCCGGGGCAGAGAGTTCCACTGCTGAATGGCTCTCACAGTCAGAAAGTTCTTCCTCATGTTCAAATGGAATCTCCTTTCTTGTAGTTTCAAGCCATTGTTCCTTGTCCTAATCCTAATCTCCATGGAAGCAGTAAACAAGCTTGCTCCCTCCTCCTTGTGGCTTCCTCTCACATTTATTCAACCAAGAGAACAGTAGTTCTCAACCTGTGGGTCCTTAGATGTTTTGGCCTTCAACTCCCAGAAATCCTAACAGCCGGTAAACTGGCTGGGATTTCAGGGAGTTGTAGGCCCAAACAGCTGGAGACCCACAGGTTGAGAACAACTGCCATTTCTTTGTTAACATTTATTTGTCATTTATATACCACTTTTCCCAATAACAAATCAACATTAAAATGGAATTAAACTAATGGTAACCCTAAAAACTTTGCCATGCCATGGACCTAAGCCAAAGAGGGCTTTATAGGTCACAACCAGCAGCAACTCCTTAACAATTCTTACTTTATGTTGCTTTGCAAAAATGGAGTCAGCAGCTGCCAGGGAGAACAAATGGAAGTAAGAAGTTGCTGAAAAACACATGCTGGCAATGTGTCTAAAAATAATCAGAATCACAATAACATGGAATTATTAATTTTGTTTACCTGGCTTTGATTCCTTGCTTCAAATTCAGAATAACCAGCTTTTTCCAGATTTCTTAGCTTTTGGACACTCTCTCGGAGCAAGTAACAAACTAGCCACTTAAATGCTCTTAAAGGTACTAGAATAATAATAAAAATCGTAATACATTAGGTAGCAAACAACACCAGTAATCCCTGTATGCATTCTTTCCAGTCTATAGAAACAGGCTTTTAAAATAGCCTGAAATTTAAATAAAATATTTCTTCCACAATTCAGCTGTCCCGAAGATCTGTTATTTAGATAAAGATGATTTGGCAGGAGGAATCTGGCGTCAAGGTTGAGTATTATTTTATGGCTGTAGAGCAGATGTTGTTTAACCTACAATGTGGTTGTGGCTGTCCATTTGGCAAACTAATACATGAAAATCTCAAAACCACATTTGTTCTAGGGGGAATATGGTATTTTTCACCACTATTACCACATCTGGCTCCTTATAGTACGCACAAGTACTTTCTCTCATAAATCTACTTGCTGAGGGAAGGCAAACAACGATTAAAGGATTTTCACAGCCATTTGAGTCCTCAAAGCAGCATGGTCCACGTATTCTTTTTTGTGCTCATGGTGAGCTTTCAGTTCATGTATGATGGCTTTCCCATTTTCACAATATCTGCCACATTACCAACATTTATGGAGAGCTGAAAATCTGTACTCAAGTTTCAACTGACAATACTTGATATCAGAATGAATTGATCCCATTCATGCAGAATCAAATATCCTTTCCCAGAATATAGAAAAAATAGTGTCTACTGAGTAGGGAAATGGGAATACTAATGGAATAAGGCCTAAGAAATCACATCAGTTTTTGTGCCCTTCTACCAATCTAATCTGGGAATATGATTCCTGTTTCTGGCATATCAAGATGTAGGTAGGAAGAATTCTAGCTCTCAGGTGGACTTTGTGGAAGAATTAATGATTTTCAGAAAGGTCATGTTAGATCTGGTTGAAGGCTACCCCTCTTTGGTAGATGATGCACAACTCCTTTCTGGCAGAGAAGGCTCCCTCCTGAATATTGACAAAATCTTCCAGAGATTAACTGAAGTGGAGCATGCGTAGTGAGTTGGAAATAGTAACCTTCTACAAGCCTCCTACAATAGTTATTTGTTATGTATATAATTGTGATTGCTTACTATATTGTATGTATAGATGGATATATAGTTTTCCCTTAACTATATTATATGTACATACTGATATGCAGTTTTCCCTTAACTCTATGTTGTTTAAAGGTGTGGGAGGGACTGCAGACCATGTGACCAGATCTGGGACTATTCAGACTGAGACTCCATTTTAGAAGCCAGTTTTACTTCAGAAGCAGTACAGTTTAGAAGTCAGTCAGTGTCCATATGCTGCAGTGTGTAGTCAGTCTACTGAGTCAGTGTTCAGTAATGTAATAAACTGAAGAGAGTGTTAGTCTCTATGCAACAAAGAAGAGACTAAAACAGAATGCTTTAGAGGACTTACTGTTTAAACTCTCAACCAATAAGAAATGTACCTGTGTGCAGAGTACATGAAGTTTGTAAGTAAATCAACTATGTTATTTATTAATGAAGACTACTTATTTTTGGTCTCTTGAGAGCATGATTTAAAAACCAATTTATTTTATGGGAGAGTAGGTTTTTTTGGCAACTGAATTAACACTTCTAAAGATCTGCTATATATTTTGTGCATTGGCATATCTTTGTTCCTAACAGTTCAGAGAGATAACCAGGTATATCAGTTTAACAACTAAGAAGCCTAATTTGACTTGCATGAATACTAGTGGATATTTACCACTAAAAAGAAGATTCACAAATATTTAACTCTTCTTAGGAAGATCATACTTTACAAAAAGTTATGATTATTCCAAATAGTGTGGATGCCAATTAAGCTCCAAAAGGGTCATGCTTCCAAATGGCTACGGAGATTCCTGGTTTCCCAAAAGGTTATGGTCTCTAAAAGACCATGCCTTTCCAAAAGAGTGAAACTGAAGCACAGTAACAGATCTCAGTCCTTCATTCGCATCAAGTGAGCAAGAAACGTGACATGACCACAGCACAACTTCTATAGAAGTGACAGCTGCTCATCTCAAATGTACTTGCCCTCGGTCTATTGTACGCAAGTAGCACACAGTATCTATAACTGTGCCAGCTTCTTCAGTATCATTTAATGATAGGGGTGAATGAACTCAAGAGGAGATGACATTTGATCAGACAACTTCCTTCCAACACAATCTTGCCAAATGCAAGTCTTGAAAACAAAAACAGCAAAAGGATTTAGGGAAAATAAAGCCACATTCAAATCGACAACATATGACAAGAATTATAATGTGAATGTAATTACCTGAAGGATCCATGCAGTCTTGGACACCAGACACTTTGAATTTCTGACAAAGAATATGATCATAGTCTTCCAAAAAATTTACTGATCCAAGTGGTGATGCAATAGGTCCTTTGTCTAAAATGCCAACAACACCAAATCAAAATACAACGTCAAAGTGAATTAAGTACTTTTCCACTAATGGCTTTGAAAATAAGTGAAAAGGAAAAATCTGCTCATCTTTGCATCCACTGTAGATGATTTTTTTCTAAGCTCCTAATTCCTTTATTTTCCAGCCCCAGCCAATCACTCTTTAGCAAAGAAGGCTAAGGGCCCTATAAAACTGTAACTCCCAGGATACCATAGCACTGAGTTATGGTACTTAAAGTGTAGTCCAACTGCATTAATTCAGACTCCAGCCATAGTCAGATCAACAGCTGTGTCTGTTAAAACGTCTCTTTTTAAATCTACTGTTGGGCATTGTCCATTTTCCTTACTCAGAACATCAAGTTCTACATACTAACCTTGTTGTCTGCCACTCATCCAACCTAGCAAGTAGTTGCTAGTTTGCTGTAAAATAACATTGTTGTCACCTTCATAGGTACAGTTTGGGTCATTGTCGTTCCGGATATCACCAAGACGATTCACTTAAAAAATACACAAAAAATATAAATAGGTTTGTGTCAGAGGACTGTCCCTGAGAGTCAAAGAATTACAAGAGAAATTGTGTGAATTAACCCTTTAGGAAGATGGAATATGGTAAGGTGGCCAAAGTGTGGCAAATCTAGATGTTACTAGACTGCAACTTCCTTCAGCCAAAAAGTTTTGGATAACCTTTCCTAGTGATAAATGTAATTAAATATTTCACTAGTTGAATCCCTCCGGGGGAAAAGGGAAGTGCCACAACTAAGAAGGCCCTTTCCTGGCCAACACTTTCCTAATTTCTGTTAGTGAGGGGATCCAGCAAAGAACCTCAAATGACTTAGGCTGGTTCTTCAGTTGAAATTGCAAGGAACAAGCTGGCAAAAGACTTCTGTGGCATTTGAAAAAATTGGAAAAAAAGCCAATTGTAGCACCAGCAAAACTAGACAGAGTTTGGATATCCACAGATGATGAAGCAATTAACTTACCTGCCAGATAGCCATGTCCCCCGCAAGCTTCTCGACATTCTTGACTTCCTTGTTGTGCAAGCCAAGAAGCCAGTGGCTTGCCTGAAGTTGATAAAGCATGGATCTCCCGTCCAAGTTCAGCCTTGTAGAAAAGGAGGGACCAATAAATAAAGGACACAGCAGCCAACACAAATCACATGTTACAAAACATGAGGCTAAATATTTTATACATGCAAGACAACGATAGTTCCTGTCCCTGCAGTTACACCAAATTTTGAGAAGATGGACTATACCAGGCATGAGCAAACTTTGGCCCTCCAGGTAGTCTCTTAGGAATTAAAGGAGTTGTAGTCTAAAACACCTGGAGGGCCAAAGTTTGCCCATACCTGGGTTATATACAGCCTTTAAGGTACATTCAAACAATTGCAGAGAAGATCGGGATATAAAAGTTTTAAATAAATAAATAATAAATAAATGTAGTATATATAGTATCTGCATATATTCAGTCAATGTTTCACATGTTAGTAAGATCTTGTGAGGGCCTGGTAGCAAAATCTTGACTCCATCCTAGGAGAAAGGTGAGGCATAAATTCAGTTTGTCAATCAATACAATTATCATTATATTTGTATGTATAATACAAAAATTAAAACATCAATGACAAGGCTATGCCTGAATGATTAGTATACAATCATTTTTTTAAAGAATTGAAGCAAGAAAACATATTAGGAATGTTTTAAAAAGAGAAATAAAAAGGGATGAGGGTATTGGAATAAACTACAGCTGAGGGATTTCACGTACCGTATATACTCGTGTATAAGCAGAGTTTTTCAGCCCTTTATTAAGCCTGAAAAAGCCCCCCTCAGCTTATTTATCATTTTACTCTGTTATTGTTATTTTATTACATTTATTATTTTATTCAATTTATTACATTTACATTATTTTACTCTATTATTATTACATTTATTATTTACTCTATTTATTATTATTATTATTATTACATTTATTATTTTAATTGATTATTACTGTTATTATGACATTTTCATTATTTTACTCTATTATTATTTTTATTACATTTTATTACATTTATTATTTTACTCTATTATAACTGGAAGGATACGTAAGAACATTTACATTGAAGAAGGTTCAATAATGGTTTAATCAGAGTTGGACAGTCTTATCTTAAATTACAGTCTTATGTAAATATTCAAAACATTTAACCTACTGATACCTCAATTCATGGAATTTTATTTTTATCTTGAAATTTACCAGTAGCTGCTGCATTTCCCATGCTCAGCTTATACTCAAGTCAAAACATTTCCCAGTTTTTTTGTGGTAAAATTAGGTGCCTCGGCTTATATTTGGATCAGCTTATACTCGAGTACATACGGTAGTTCATTCTGTACATTTTGTTGTGTTTGTGCAATATTGGTAGCTAGCAGCTGGGAATATAGCCATACTTCCTTCTCATGAAATGAAGGGCAGCTTATTGTGATGTTACAGGTTCAAAAGGTTTAGGTGAGTACAAGAGGTCAACTGAAGAGTAGATATATCTGTTTTCCTAAACTCTGCAGTTCCAAGGAAAAGGTCAACTCAGGAAAAGGTTCAAATAATGAGTTATGACAAGGAATAACTGAGTGTCCTCTCACCTGTTGTGGACTCTTGTCCCCCATGAGAAGGCCTATTGTGAATTCCACGGAGTGAATGAACAATGTCTTGGAGAAATGATCTAAGACATAAGCTGCTGCTAAATAAGGAAGTAAGCGCCATTGCTGGAATATAAATAACACGCATGACAGTTTAAAAATTTTTCTTACCGATTTAAACAGATATATATCTTCCCTAGAAGTCCTGAAAGAGACAATTGTCCAAACACTTTTTTCCAATAATAATTCATATTCCATACTGTCCTTTTACTTCTGTCCACATTTCCCCAAAGCAAAGGTATTATTTTACACTCTTATATTTTTCATATAAGATGAGCATTGGTCATAGCAATTGATAACACCACAAAAAGTAAACTCATAAAAAACAATTCATATTTAGTTCATGAATCCCTCAGATTGTAAATAACAAAAACTCTGGAAATAGCTGGACAACTTGTATTTCATATTTATGTATTTTATAAATGGACAGCTTTATTTTAGGTCGTTAGACTTGAGGTCTAGGCTATCTGAAAGGTCCTATCTTCCTAGGTTAACCTACTCAGGTTTTGTGTCCTATAGGGTAGAATGGCAATTGATCAAACAAAAACCATTCTTCATTTAAGTATGGAGCTGTTCTGACCCGAAAGTAACCCGCACTCTAATAACTACTAGCAGCTATTCTCTGTTCTATTACGTTCCAGACCTAAAGTTATTCTTGCATACAAAAATACTAATACTTTACAATATTAAGAAATATCCCTATACCTTCAATTTAACAAAATAGCAATTAACAGATATCATTTTAGCGGCATTTGAAAATGAAATTAAAATGAAACAGAATATGAAGGACAAAAGTTGACGTAAGCCAATTTTTGTAAATTAGATTCTACGTGCAATTATATTCTTGGGTTGTGGTGAATTTTTTGGGCTGTATTGCCATGTTCCAGAAGCATTCTCCCCTGATGTTTCGCCCACATCTATGGCAGGAAACCTCAGAGGTTGTAAGGATGCTTACCATAGATGTGGGTGAAATGTCAGGAGAGAATGCTTCTGGGACATGGCCATACAGCCCAGAAAACTCACAGCAAGCCAGTGATTCCAACCATGAAAACTTTCGACGACACAGTTATATTCTTGAGAGGATAAACTTTACTACCTTGTATTTTAATAAAATATTACTTTTACCTGCATTTGGTACTCAAGGACTGGAAGTTCTTCATCATCTGTTGGTCCAAACTGGCGTCGAGTAGCTGAGAAGCGTATGGCTATTGACACAGCAAGCTTTAAATTGACAAGCGACATGGATATAATCATGACTCTTCCATTGGACAAAGAACCAAGGGAAGCTCCTAATCGTTGCTTGCGGTCCTGAGGAAATAAGACATGACTTGTAAATACATGCCATAACAAGATGTTCCCATGAGTACACCTGCCATTGGCAATCAAAGGATACCATTTTAGCTTTCTAACCTCATAGTCTATAATAAAAAAATGATGAATGTTTACCCTGAAAGTATGGGAAGAAGAACTGAAAGGATCTGTGAAGAAAAAGAAACCCTAGTCAATAGAGATTAAGTACCTTGAATGTGCTTGTATATGTCCCTGCGGCGGTGATTTCTCCAGTTTTATTCAGTAAATTCTCCTTTGGTATCCTCACATGATGAAACATGGCGAAACTGTCAGTTCAAAAATAAGGGATAATACTCGTTGATCAGTAGTGAATATCGAGGCACCACCATACAAGCATTACAGTTTCTTAGAGTCCACACTGATGCAATGTTAAATACATGGATGTGTTTCCATATATGCTTTTTCTTACTTTCAGGGCAGTAGTTGTGGCGCGTTCCCCTGACCAAATCCATTTAGACCTAATCAGTACTTTCCACACTGGAGTAATGACAAGACCATTCTTTAAGCTGCTATCAGCTTCGGAAAGGAGGTTTCCACTGATATCAACAAGAGTTGATGAAGCAAGTTGAGTATTTCTACTACTAATACAGACTATTATTATTATTATTATTATTATTATTATTATTATTATTATTATCTTCACTTGTATACCACTTTTCTTACCGGGGGGGGGGGGGGGGGGGGGGGGGGGGGGGGGGTGGAGGGGGGGGGGGGGGGGGAGGGGAGCTCAAAGCGGTTTCCAATGTATTTCTGATAAAAATTTAATGCCTCACATACATATGAAACCTAACATAAAACAACAATAATAACTATCAATTAAATCACAAAAATGTAACAACATTTGGACATTAAAACATAAGAGTTAAAAACACATTGATTTATTTATTTAAAACATTTATATTCCGCCCTTCTCACCCCAAAGGGGACTCAGGGCGAAGCACAACATATATACCGCATACATTCAATGTCGGAACACAAATTCTCATATACATACATAAACATTAAAAACATTTACCAAAATATTAAAATACACCATTTAAAACTGTCCTAGTCACCCACGTCAAATCTAATTAATTAATTTATTTATTTGCACCATTTCTACCCCGTCCTTCTCACCCCCGAGGGGGGACTCAAGGCAGCTAACACAGGCAAAAATTCAATGCCAACAGTATCAATAACACAATATAAAACAACAATATAAAATCCTATTACATAACAAACAGTGATATTAATCTTTCCTATTGCTGCTTTATTGTCCTGTCCCGAAAGCTTGGTCCCACAGCCAAGTTTTTGCTATCCTTCTAAAGGACAGAAAGGAGGGGGGCGACCTGATCTCACCAGGAAGGGAGTTCCATAGTCGGGGAGCAATCACCGAGAAGGCCCTGTCTCTCGTCCCCACCGATCGTGCCTGTGACAATGGCGGGACGGAAAGTAGGGCCTCCCCGGAGGATCTTAATCTAAACATTATAATCACATAATCCAAAAATCGTAATGTAAACTTTAAAATCACATAATCCAAAAATCGTTGCCCAAGCCATTCCAAATATCAATTAACAATTGCACATAATCCCTGATCATTCCTTGTATTGCTTGCCAAGAGATATCATTAAATATCTCTTCTGCCTTAAAGCTAGTGGATCTTTCCCACTGAGAATCCCAGCAACGAATTAAAATGACTGAGGGGAAATAGAGCAGAGTCGCATTTTGGCATTAATTAATTAATTTAAAACATTTACTTTCCGCCCTTCTCACCCCAAAGGGAAACTCAGGGGGGAGCACAGCATACAAACAGCAAATAGTCAATGCCGGGACATAAATGTGCAAAGGGATTGCCTCATTACTTCTTGTTGTTCTCAACATATAATGTATACCAGGCAAAAGGTGATTGAGAAGCTGAGAAAGGAAAGACAACACAGAACAAAGAAGAAAGTAAAACATAAATTCTCTTTCAGCTTATGGGTACATACTATCTTAATACAAGTGTGTTAGTTTGGGAGTGTGTGTGTTTGTTTCTGCATCTGTGTGTGAGACACAGAATAGAATCATATTTATGTCTTATACAGACATGGATTGAGTTTTTGGACAATGCTCAACAAGCGCGTGCAGCTGATGGTCATGGAAGCGGTTTTACATCCACAACCACTGCACATATAGCAGGGTTTTAATGTTCAGAGAGCACAATGCAAATGAAAAGAGTGCACAGCAGTACACAATGACAGCTATGTGCACTGACCTCCAGAGAACATTTGTTGCACTACTTATCCAGTACAGGCAAAGTAGAACATAATTTTGCTGGCCTATATTTATGCTATATGCTGTAGCTAGAAAGGAAAAATGAAATTCACAAGTATATGATGGGTGACATCTAACCTGAAAGCAGTATATGTGAAAAGGATCTAGAGGTCATACTAAACCACAACCTAAATGTGAGTCAGCAGTGTGGTGCAGAAACTGAAAAAGTCAAAGCAATTCCGGGCTGCATCAATGTTAGTAGTGAGCTGACTGAGGAAAATATGAGTGCCACTCCATTCTGCTTTGACGAAACCTCACTTGTAAGATTGCACCTCAGTTCAAGAAGGATATCAACAAACTAGAACAAGACTAGAGAAAGGTGATCGTGAAGAACAAATGTGTCAAAAACAAGTCTTATGAGAAAAGACTTAGGATGCTGTGTCAATTTAGTTTGGAAAAAAGAAAAGTAAGAGGTGGCATGATAGTTATCTATTAATATCTGAAAGGATGGCATGTAGAAAAAGGAGTGAGCATCTTTGTGGCTATCCCCATGATTATAACACGAACAAATGAATTAAGATTGCAAGTAAAGAGATTTTACTAAACATTAGAAACAACAATAACAGCTGGGTTGCTTTGAGTTTTCCAGGCTGTATGGCCATGTTCCAGAAGTATTCTCTCCTGATGTTTCGCCCACATCTGTGAAAGGCATCCTCAGAGGTTGTGAGGTCAGTTAGAAACCAGGCAAGTAAGGTTTATATATCTGTGAAATGTCCAGAATGGGAGAAAGAACTCTTGTCTGTTTGAGGCAAGTGTGAATGTTCCAATTGGCCAGCTTGATTAGCACTTAATGGTTTTGCAGTTTCAAAGCCTGGCTGCATAATAATAATAATAATAATAATAATACTTTATTTATACCCCGCTACCATCTCCCCAAGGGACTCGGTGCGGCTTACATGAGGCCAAGCCCACAGTACATCAATAAACAAAAGCAATAACATAAAATCAATTCAAAATAATTAATATAAATCACATAAGCAAAAAGTAAACAATAACAATAACAGTAACACTCAAGCATTTAAAAAACCTATGGCCAGGCCAAATGTAATATTTTAAAATTTAAAAAATATAATGCTGGGCATGAACAAGGTTGAATATAACTGGGATAGGGTTTTTCAAAGAGAAATGAGGGAACGCAGTCAGTCCTAAATCAATGGTAAAGTGCATTTTGAGGGCATATTGCTGAGAGTTTTCCTTATTCTAGGAAGGCACACTGGAACAACCATCTTTCCTGCCTGGGAGAATCCTTTGTTGGGAGGTGTTAGCTGGCACTGACTGTTTCCTGTTTGGAATTTTCCCTGTTTTCTGAGGGTTGTTTTTTATTTATCGACCTGATGTGAGAGTTTTTTAAAAAAAATACTGGTAGCCAAATGTCAGGAGAGAATGTTTCTGGAACATGGCCATACAGCTCAGAAAACTCATAGCAACTCAGTGATTCTGGCCATGAAAGCCTTTGACAACACGTGCTTTAGCTGTGTGCTCCTGTATGGCATAGGCTGGACTAAATGACCGTTATGATCCCTTCCAATTCTAAAATTATATTACTGTCATAGACAGAAACTTGTGCATCATAAAAATTATTATGTTTGAAACATGTGGACACTATTATTTTTATAGAACAATGCTAAGTTAACTGAAATCAGTATTTTATGTTAGGCAAGACACAACCTTTATAGCTACTTTTTGAGTATCAACCCTGTGTGTCATAGACTTCAACTCTCAATTATTGCTGTTTTGAAAACCTGCCAAACATAGTCTTAACAGAAGCATCTTTGGCAGGATTGGGGGCAGCTTCAGGACTAGGTTCAGCATGAACAGAAAAGGCTGTTCATGCTCCTGAGCACCATAGCTCAGACCCCAAGAAACTATTTTAGAGTTCCATGAGACATTTCATGGCTCGTGATTCTTTTCATTGCCTGCATTCAGCCATCTTCATTACTGCAAAAATAAGGGAGGAACTGCTCTACAATAGATGGCAATGAGAAGGTGCAAGATCAATATAGCTCTGCCACCTGCTGGATAGTTGTTGGCAATGCTGTACTGTATACTTACAAAAATGTCAAAAAGATAGTCATTATTATTACTTCAATATACCATAGAGCACTGCTTCTTAAACTGTGGGTCTTGACCCCAAATGGGATTGCCTTAGCTCAATGTTGGGGTTATGAAAAAATTGGCAAAAGTAAAAGGTTTCTGAATGCCACCCATTAACACATCTCTGTTAGCAACAATGTGCAGTGTTTACAGTGGACAATGTGGAAAATGCTTCAGTTGTGCTTCATAAAAAGGAAAACCAGCCTGTTTAGCAAAACTAGCAGATGCTGAATTATTATCAGTATTTTTTTATACCTGCTTTATATAGTTATATTTTTTAAAGAATAACTATAAGGAATTCCTGAGATAATTTCCTTTTCTGAGGAAATTTATGTGCATTACAATACTGATGAAAGGGATAATACAGGCGGAGTATTCCTTATCCAAAATGCTTGGTAGTGTTTTGGATTTCTGGATTTGGATTTTGGATTTCTGATTTTTTAGATTTTGGAATATTTATATTTGCATATATGTACATCATGAGATATCTTGGAGATAGAACCCAAGCCTAAATGCATAATTTCCTAAGCATTATGTTGTGGTTAAATTCAAGTGAAGTTTAGTATACACTTACCCATTATCTAAACCATTCTGCCCCAGTTTCCTCCCTATGTCGCCAACCATCACCCCTGGCATTGCAAGAAGTGTTTTTGGATCACGAATCTGTAACAAATGGTTGAATTACATACCCATCAAACTTTTCAACTCTATGAAATATTAGTTGGAAAGTGTTGAGCCATCAGGGTTTTTTTTCATAACATGATTATAACAGTCCAGTATGACCAAGATACAGGGCACATCTACACTGACACTGTAATGCAGTTTGGAACCACTTTAGGAGGAACCGGTTTTGCTGTGGGGTTTATTAGATTGACATGTCTGGAACTGGCTTGAAGTCAAGTGGGTGATTACAGAACCTGGCCTGAAACAACTCTGTGAAGCCTTTTCTCCATTTCAGGAAGAGATGTGCATCAGTGCTCCTGAGGCCTATGGGTGGAGGAAAAGGGGGAAAGGGATAGGCAGGAACAGAGGTAATCAATTATCCATCTCAGGGAGACAGTTAGGCCCCTGTTTCCCATCCATTCTCTTTTCAACAGCCCCTGTTCTGGAGTCTATAACGCTCTTCAGAAGGTGTGGGTATCTACAATACGCTCTGCATGTTGGGGTGTGTGTGTGTGTGCAATTTCACCCTGAATCTGGGACACGCTGCAGTGCATTACTTGGCCTAACTCAGAATTTCCTGCAACTTAAAGAGAGAAGTTGGATTTTACCATGGTTCAAACAATAGTATGTCAAATCCTAGCGGAGATAGTATTTGACTCAAGTGCACATTATTTTCTGCTTAGGCAATGCAGCAGCATATTTGTCTGGAAGAGCTCATAACAGAAGGGCCTATTTTTTTTTCAACACAATTGTGCACTTGCAATATATGACTAACATTTTCCCCACAGGGAAAAAACTGGAAAAGCATATTGCCAAAGTTTTAATTGCTTCTCAGATGCATACAATTTTGCCACCACAGACATGTAGCCATATGGTAGAATCAGAGGGAACAATGGCACCCAATTTTCTGTGGCCTGTAGAAGCTATAAATGTTACATTTCTCTCTCTTCATTTCATAAAAAGTATAGTATTCAAATATGGAACGTTTGACTGGCTAATGTCACCAGCAACCCAGGTTAACTAGATTGTTTCCCCCAAATTCTGGAAACCCATGGCATTGGCCCATTCTCACCTGTACAATGAAGGAATGCAGTCCATGGCACTGCCCATCTGGAGTATACAACTGTGCAAAGACAACTGCGTGTGTTGCATTTTTCCCCATATTGCCAACCCAAAATTTTGCAGCTTCAAAATCAGGTGAATGAATAATGAACTCCTACACAGACGACAAGAGAAAACGTATGTTTGTGCAAAATATTTTACATTCAGTTTCAAAGTACAAAGATGAAGGAGCTGCCCAATGCTCTAGATCAGGCCTGCCCAACATACAGTCTGTGGGCCAGAAGCAGTTTGCAAAGGGCTTCCCTGCAGCTCGCAGAAAGGCCGGGGCTTCACCTTTTTGATTGGCCATTTCCCTATCTGTCTTCCTCGTCAGGTAGGAAAGGAGGAAGAGGAATGATCTGCAGAAGGTTTTTAAATATATATTGGTCCTCTTTACAAGAACCAAGTTGTGCAGTCCTGGTTACTATGACAATGTGTCAGTCCAAAACAAAACATGAAGGATTTGAACTGGAAGTGTCATAACTTTTTTTTTTTAGTGTCAGAAGTAACTTGAGAATATACTGCAAGTTGCCGCTGGTGTGAAAGAATTGGCTGTCTGCAAGGACATTGCCCAGGGGATGGCTGGATATGTTACCATCCTGTGGGAGGCTTCTCTCATGTCCTCACATAGAAAGCTGGGGCTGACAGATAGGAGCTCACCCTGTCCCGCCAATCTGAACTGCTGACCTTCAGGTCAGCAGTTCAGCTGGCACAAGGGTTTAACCCATTGTGCCACCGCAGTTCTTCTCAGTGTCATAACTCCTTTCCTACAAATGCACTTTTATCCCTATCTCACCCAGGGTTTTAACTTTTTAACATTTTACCTCATACATTTGGTCCGCCTATTTGCAGCACTATTTGTTATCTGTGGAACTAAAAATCAAGGCACATATCTGTATACCATAAGTTTGCATTTCTCTTGTCAATTGTTTTCTTGATATATATAGTTTATTATTACTCTATTGTGAAAGATAAATTAACACAAATACATGGAAATTTTAGTTATAACATAGGTACCAGATAATTTATATCAGCTGCACTCCTTAGGTTGGTGCACCTGTATCAGTGATCCAGCATCACTAATAAGGCATCAGTACAAAAATGTTCAGTGTATCTGCAGTTAGAAATGTAACTGTTAATGAAATGGTACTGAAAAAAATGAAATAAAGGAATTTCAGTTGATTAGGTACCTGTGTAGATGGGTCATATCTAGCTGTAGTTCGCATATTGTTGGTATTACTGCCATGGCTGAGTTCAGTCAGAGCAAAGCATCCAAAATTCTGTTGGAAAAATACACCAAAATGAGTTTAAGCAACATCACTCATACATTAGCATTACTGGAACTCTTGAATTTTAAAATCATTTAAAATTACTAGGATTATCTCATTTAAAAGTGATTTACTGTGGGCCCAACTTACTTTCTTGGAGCCAATTGTTTGATACTGGCAACTATGCCTAAATTCAGCCTAGTAGCTTCATTCTGGCAAATGTTACACAGTAGTAAACATTTCTGCACCAGGACTCATCATGTTTGTTCTGTAGCCCAAATGTCTCTACATGGAGCCCTGCAGCTATATGGAGAAAATTTAGTCCCCAGACATTCCTGACATGCCATTCCTAGGAACTTTAAGGAGAGAAAAAACATAGGGTCTGAATTTTCAGAAACAAGTGCATCTACACTGTAGGATGAATGCAGTTTGATACCACTTTAATTGCCATGTCTCAATGCTATGGCATTCTGAAATCTGTAGTCTGATGAGTCACCAGCACACTTTGGGAGAGAAGGTTAAAGATCTTACAAATTCCCATTAATTCACAGCACTACAACCCCAATGAATCCACAGCACTGAGTCATGGTAATTAAAGTGGTGTCAAACTGCATGAATTCCATGACGGAGATGCACCTGCAATAAAACTCCCAAAATATTACTTAGAGATCACTTCAATAACAAACTCAGATACTTGTCAAGGTATTAAAGTATACTGTCAGGCTTTTTGGACACTTATTCCTTTGAGCAGTTAATTGATTGATTTTACTGGGTTTTAAATTTTTTGTTCAGCTATGAGATTATAAAATAAGGAAATGGTTTTTCTAGCAGGTATAAGAATGTAAGTGAACCAGGATGAGAATCTTTTGGACCAGTAGAGTTCTGTTCAGGTCTGAGAAGACCTACAAAGCATTATTTAAATTATTGCTTTTTACCTGATTATCAGCAACACCGTAATTTCAGAATAAATGAATATGCAAATTGAGTAAAAGGGAAATTTTGTGTGAAAAATCTAAGTGACGATTTTTCAAAGAAACAAAAACAGAACTAGAATCATAGAGTTGGAAGAGATCTCATCGGCCATCCAGTCCAACTCCCTGCCAAGAAGCAGAAAAATTGCATTCAAAGCACCCCCGACAGATGGCCATCCAGCCTTTGTTTAAACGCCTGCAAAGAAGGAGCCTCCACCACTAAATAAACATTGCTGTTGATAATGATGATGATAATAACAATAATAATTCTCCACACTGGGACTTATGCATGCTAAGCAAAGACTAAAATGAATATAGCTTAAAATGAACTAACTCCATGTTTCAAGAGATTTGTAGATACGGCTTGTCTGAATGTGTTATTAGTTATTTTTATGCAACAGCATGGATTGATACTTGGTGCAGAGTAACACATTTTAAAAGCATATTTAGTAAAAAGGAGTTTTAAAAGAAGTACCTCCATAGTTCCATTTTGCTGAATAATGTCTGCATGTCTTTCGATGCCACCACTCTCAACTGCACCTTTAAATACCTGCAAATATTAAGACAGTCGGGGGAAATGGGTGGATCATAATGGTATGATCAAGACAATGGCACGCTATACCACCTAATTCAAGTGAACAGACAAGTGTTCCCTTCCTCTCCCTAGGAAGAAATGTTTTATTTTATCTTAACTTGTGGCACCATTCACAAAAATATGGCAGGGAAATATTTACCGCATAGATTCCACTAACTTAATTTCAAGTACCCACTGAATTAAAATATGGAGCCAATATATGAAGACTAGCTCCTTGCTCTCTGGAGGGTATGAAGCAGTAGGATACACAGCCCTAGAAATTTTAGAAAGGGCCTTCCCACCTTTTGGCCCTCCAGCTTCCCATGCTTATTCTCAGGACACTCTCTGAAGGAAGATGGCAACCCACCAGCACTATGAATTGTTCACTAAGAGAGAAAAACTCTCTACTTAATGCCAAGGAATCATTGAAATGCATTCCTTCCGTTTCCCAGAAGAAATAGCTTTGATTTATGAACCTATAGGGAATGCACATAATTTTCAGATAACTTGCTCTTTTCCACACGTTCCTTAGAAATTATAAAGTCTCCCAAATATAAAACCAGAATTCTGGAGACAGACAAAGAATTCTACCATGGGAAACTTCTGTGCACCCAATATGTCCTACCCTGCCCTCTATCATTCCAGCTGTTGTGCCAACAAGGCACACATATTTAGGGGAGCCATTTCTATCCAGAAGGCCCTAAATGTGGTATTTTAGTTAACAGGACCAAAAATTGTAAATTACAGTATCCTCTTCTTTCTCGTCATCTATTTTGCTAGTTTCACTATCATAACAATACATCAAAACCCACTCAAGTTGGAATATGTATAGTTGGATGAGCTTTAATTCCCTATATGTAGTACTTTGCTTAAAGTTGTATGAGCTGATTGTAAAGTGATCACCAGTGGTAATCGCTGGTGAAATATCTGCCAAATGAATACTGGGATGGACTGAACTGCTGGAAACCACCCTGAGTCCCCCCAGGAAGATAGGGTGGGTTACAAATAAATTATTATTATAATTATAATTGTTACTATTATTATTATTACTATTACTATTATTATTAGCTTTGGGAAGGACAGGCAATTTAGGACAAGCATTCAGAAGAGAAGAGATTATTTCTCCTTAATACAGGAGAAATAGAAAAAACAGTAATGTTGTGCTTCCCATCTGGCCGGTACACTACTGCTCTCTGGTGGCACAATATTGATAATACTCATTAAAAAGTAGGGATGCTTAACCCTGCACTAACCCTACTCTAGTAGCTTGTGCCCATGGCTATGGCGGGAGGGGGAGACAGTGGTCAGATTTGGCATCTTTTGTATATACTGTATCACTTTTCCTTGTGGACACAGATATAATTCACACATAAAAACCAGATTTATTTACCTGACCTCAGAATTCGGAATATTCCCCACAACTTTGATTAACATGGGCCATGTGCATTGGGCTGCCATGGGGCTGATCTGGCATTTAGCTGCTGAAGTGGTCAGTTTAGATGTGCCACTAGTCAGCTGGGATAGTCTTCTACACTTCTGCCTGAAGAAACATGATGCCCAGTACATAATCACAAAGTTCTGTGCTTGTCTTATGCTTTCATGTCAAGTAGATTTCCGTGTGTGGAGGGGGCTTCCTGTTTCGTGCTTCCGAAGAAACGGAAGACACGAAAGACATGAATGAAACGGTAGGAACGAATTTTGTGCACATGACTAATTCTGAGGCTTTCAGTTACTCAGGATGGATGGTATATGTGCAATGGTGCAAAATATTTGGGACAAAAATTCAGTACTTAAGGAGGAAAGAGTGGTAGTGTGTTGACTATATTCTGTTCATATGCGACTTCCAATCAGTGGATTCTCAAGAGGTGCCACGTCTTGTGCAGTTGTACACAAATAGGCTCCCCACATTTTCCAACCCCAATTGTCTGCTGAGAGAGGGAGGGCATTTCAAGAACTTTGAAAAGGTAAAAGTTTCCCCTGACATTAAGTCTAGTCGAGTCCAACTCTGGGGGATGGTGTTCATCTCCATTTCTAAGCCGAAGTGCCAGTGTTGTCCATAAACACCTCCAAGGAAATGTGGCCAGCATGACTACATAGAGTGCTGTTACCTTCCTGCAGAAGTGGTACCTATTGATCTACTCACATTTGCATGTTTTTGAACGTCTAGGTTGGCAGAAGCTGGGGCCTAACAGCGGGAGCTCACCCCGCTCCCTGGATTCGAACCACCAATCTTGCGGTCAGCAAGTTCATCAGCTCAGTGGTTTAACCCGCTGCACCATCAGAAATTACTTCAAGGGTAACATACATTCTCCTACACATTTCTTATAGATGTGACTCTCCCTTGGCAATGCACAGCTTTTTTCCTATCATATGACAGAAGGCCAGCAGATCCATCTGACACTGTCCTCTGTTGTGAAGGTATGCCTGGAAAAGATTGCTCTTGGGCTGCTGGGTGCCTGTCTTAGTACTGTATGTTACCCACTGTGCTGTCTTGGCTTGAGAATCATTTCTTCTGTCTATGCTTTCTTTCTGTGGTTTGACATCCTGCTTGATATTTTGGTACAACCTCAATCAGTGGGTGATATCGCATGAGAGACTCCCTGCTGGGCACACAGAAGACTGGACAACTTGGAAGGCGCTGAACAGACTGCACTCTGCCACCACGAGATGTAGAGCAAACCTTAAGAAATGGGGCTACAAAGTGGAGACCACAACATGCGAGTGTGGAGAAGAGCAAACCACAGAGCACCTATTACAATGCAGCCTGAGTCCTGCCACACGCATAATAGAGGACCTTCTTATAGCAACACCAGAGGAACTCCAGGTGGCCAGATACTGGTCAAAGAACATCTAATACAATGCCAAGTTTTTAAACTGCGTTTTTTAAATACGACTGTACCCTCGGATCACTTCTGATATGATAAATAATAAATTTTGGTACAAAGTTTCTGCTTTTGGGTTATTTTGAGCCTGATGTGATGTTTTCAGAGTGTCTCTCCATTTGGGAACTAAGACTAAGCCAAACCAAGCCTCTTGGCCTTTGTTTATTTGTCTAAGAATCTGGCTGATGTTTGGCCCTTGCTTCTTACGATAATTTAGTGTCAAGTATAGGTCTAGTCAGGCTGAGCAGATGCGTAAGGAACAGTGTGGATGATGACAAAAGGCTGCTGCTGATTACTACTGCTGCCAATGCTGCACTGTCTCAAGTGACCTTTTGGTGGTTCACAGTTTGAGCAGGAGAGACTCACACCATTAATTCTGAGTGCAGCCCCCCCTCCCCCCAGTGGGTCATTCCTGCTCTGTATTCTACCCAAAAAACTTCCCTTCTGAAGACATGGTGCCACTTCAGGAAGGGCCCTGTCTGTGGGCAGATGTGAAAGGCTCCAATAGCTATCAAGGATGTTTCTTGAAACCAAAATAAATACACTGTTAATGGGCTTTATAGTATCTATTATAAGGCTTTAATATGTGTTCCACATACCTGAGTATTTAGCAAATACTTAGCCCCAAGGGACCAATCATACATTCCAAGGGAAGTAATCAGTGCCACAAGTTTTAATGGTTTTTCCACAAACTCTTCTAGCCTCAGAAAATCATATTCAAAGAGTCTTCTACAGCGCAGGAATGTTAACTCACGATACTTCTCAAGAGGTAATTCTTCTCCAGCAAGACGAGCAAAGAGAGGGTCATTTTCAAGTGTAGAGAATATTTTATTCTTTATGGAAGAAAAACATAAGAACAAGGCACATGTGAAGGCTCCACTTGACTGTAATTTATTTACTTTTTTTGCACTTACGAATCTTAATTCTTTCTTTATGTCACAAGAATAGTATTAGAGTGAAAGATTTCAAAACCTGTTAAAACTTATGATTAAATATGAATAATGTCACATTAAATATCACTAAAAATTACAAAGATACAGCAATATGGAGTGCATTCAAAATAATCTTCAGTGACCAGAAGATCTATGGCGTTATATATCACCTACTTCAAACCCAGGTAAACAAGACAACAAAAGCCATGGTCACATCCTCAGATGGATGAGAAACATATGGGAGAGGCCTCTTCCCTAAGTAAGAATAGAACAGTTAACACCAGAGAGTAAATACCCAAAAGGAGCACCAGAACCTCAAATTCTGGTGTGTCTGGTTGGTCATGCCTTCAAGTTGCCTGCCAAATTTTGATGAGCCCATGAATTTCTTAGCTTTTTCTTAGGCAAGGAGTACTCAGAGGTGATTTTCTAGTTTCTTCCTCAGCACCTTGTATTCATTGCTGGTCTCCCATCCAAATACTAATCTGGACTAACCCTTCTTAGCTTACAAGATCTAGTTCCATTAGCATAGTGTTGTAAATTTGTTGTTATAAAATCCCAATACATGGAAATCACTTTGTCTCCCTGGAGGTAGCTATTTCTGCCTATGCTGATGTTAAAACAACATTCGCTGTGGGGTTTCCTGGCAGAAGGTTAAGATGTATGTTTTTGAGGTTTTTAAAAACATGTTTTGATGGGCTATTTAAGTAGAAATATAGTATTTATTTATTATTATTTGAAACCTTACCTTGAAAGATATGAGATCTTCACCCTCGATGAACAATGCCATCTCTTTCCAATTAAAGGATGCCTTCTTCCGGTAGGCACAGAGTGGTCCCTTGGGTAAGTCTGGTAGTAGTGAGTTCAACTTTTCCAGATTACTGATGGACTTCATCTTGGTGTACAATATTTCTCCAAAACAAACTTTTCCAATATTTAAAAAAACTGGAAAAAAGAGATCACAAACACTTACAATGAGTAGAAGAAAATACTATCCATTATAGTATTTTAATATTTGATAGCCTTTCAGTTCACATTAATAACTATGTATACATTAAGAGGCAACCATATTTTTAAAAGTTATTTTTGGTACAATTACTACTCTTAGCCAACAAAGGCAAGTTTTTTCTTCGTCCAGTCTTTAAACTTAAAGCAGTAGTTCTCAACCTGTGTAAACTCCTTAAACTCCTGCTAGTCCACAAAGTACACCTGAACTGGGACCACAGAGTGAAGTTTCTACAGGAATTCTTTAATAGGCCGTTTACTGGGACTAATGCAAGAGAAGATGAGAATTTCCCTTTCTACGAGTAGATTCCTCCCATTTCCTGTTGTATCACCCCCACTCTTATCTATGAGTCATTTGTAAGTCAGATGTTTGTAACTTGGGGACTGTCTATACTTGAAATTTTTAATGGCATAGACTCAATTCGCTCGGTCTGTCTTGACTGAGGCACCAAAATGGATTAACACCTTGTTTGTTATATTTTATTTTCTATCAGCATCACCCACTAAACTGGATGACCTATTTCCAGTCAGAGTAGGTATCACTAGACCTGAAAAACTGGTAAAGGACAATTTGCAGTCGATTTCTTATTTCCATGAAGGCTGTTATTCTTATTCTTGATCTCAGTTTTTTTCCTCAGTCTCTCTATATCTTTACTCATCAAGTATTCATAGTTGCGCTTAGTTTCTACCTAAGGAGAAATAATTAAAGCATTTCTGAGATCATTATCCTTAGATAATTATAGTTCTAAATGTAGATGCAGACTGTAAAAATATTTATTAACTTCTTGCCAAGAGATGATAGTCTCTGTTGCCCTTATTATTCGGTCAGGGTTTTGGTAGCTGATCATTTGCTGAGGTCTGTGTTTTATCCCTTTGATGCTCAATTGTCTTTTATCTGGAATAAATTATACATGATAGTAATGTATAAACATTTCAAAAGATGTCACAAGGAAAAGGGAGCAGTCTTGTTTTCTGCTGTCCTGCAGACTAGGACTTGGAGCAATGGGTTCAAATTACAGGAAATGAGATTCCACTTAAACATTAGGAAGAACGTCCTCACTGTAACAGCTGTTCAACCATGGCACTCACTGCATCGGGAGTGTGGTGGAACCTCCTTCTTTGGAGACTTTTAAACAGAAGCTGTATGGCCTTCTGTCTGGGATGCTTTGATTGTGGTTTTCCTGCATGGCAGGGGGTTGGACTAGATGGTCCGTGCAGTCTCTTCCAACTCTGATTCTTCATTTCTGCTTTAGTGATTGAACCATTTTGTCTTTCACTTATATCTTGTATTATTACTAGTATTATTCATTCTAATAGCATTAGAATGTAAGTTCAATTGACACTCCTTTTTTTGAGATCCAATAAATAAGAGAAGGATGTCCTTTTCTATTTAATTATCAGCTCTTTTAAGAAAGATCTATGAAAACATGCTGTAGTTTTGTAAGGATCTTATAACCTGGTTCTTCATGAATACACAAAGAAATCTAGACAGGCTGATTATACAGAAGAAGCAGTAACCTGATACCTTTGTTTATTCTTTCCAGATACACTTTCAACTCCCTCCATAATTTAGATAATGATTATGTCAGGGAGTTCCAAAGTCCAGGAAACTTGGGGTTCCGCAAAAGGATAATAGGGGTTTTGCAAAAAATATATATCTTAAAAATCAAATTCAAAACAGATTTTAAAATAAAATAAAACCACACAAGGCTATTTGATTTACTGTACCCATAATAGCTATTTTGTATTACTACTACACGAATCCAGGGATTTTTGGTAGACACTGATATCTAGATCCGGCACAGTCTGGCTTTAGGCAGGGACATGATATCGAAACAGCCTTGGTTGCATGAGTAACTCACAGTGAATAGCTCTCCTCCCTACACGAACAGGGATATCCTGGGAGTAGGGAACAAGTATGTAGGCAGTCCCCGAGTTACAAACATCCAACTTAAAAATGACTCACAGTTAAGGGCGGGAGTGAGACAACAGGAAGTGTGAAAAATCTGCCCCTTGGAAGGGAAATTCACTTCTGAAAGAGTTATTATCATGGGGAAAAAGTGTCTCCACTGAAGCTTTCTCACCAATCCTTGTTTCCAAAACAAGCCTGATTTTCAAAACCCAACAAAACGAGCACCCTAAGCTATCCAAAGCATACACACCACACACCCCTCCCCTCCAACCTTTGCAGCTGACAGTTTACCTGCTTCTCTCCCTTCTGCAAGCCACACAAAAGGCCCACAATTGGGCTGAAGTTGTTCTCTGGCTGCTAAGTTAGCTTCGCCTTCTGAGGCTCATCTCAGCTGTGCCATCACCTTATCACAACTGGCCTTGCAAGAGCATGCTAGCTTCTGTGCCACAGAAGCGTTTGCCCTTTGACATGGGACAAAAGGCCAAAGTGTATCCACGGGTTGGTTTTAATTGTTCAACATCTAGTATGTAAGCCATCTAGAGCTCAATAGGGAACCACCTTTAGGAGAGTTTGAACTACCTCCAAAACTAGGCTGCCAGGGTAAAAACCCACCCATCCCTGAAATTATGAGCTTAACAAGGACCACTCGAACTCCCATGTAGTATTTTCTTCCTCATTGCTATAATACTTTTAACCTTCTAAGATTTTTATAGAACCTCATTATTGATGTGTCATTTCTTCACAAAATCCCAGTTATTATTCATGTGTTCTGCTTTGCAAAAACATAGATACAAATGTGCAAAATTCATAATGAGTTGCCTTGAGCCCCGCCTGCCCCTAAAAACGTTTTCTGGATTCCTGAGTGGCAGGGTACAATTACTTTAAAGTACACTCACTAACTAAACTGGCTGGAATGCAAGGCTTTTTGCATGCAGCTGTCCAGTGTCAAGCTGTATAATTCCTCTTAAGTTTTATGAGCATTTTTGAAGGGAACTAAGAGAAAGGAGGCATGGAAAGAGATTTGTTAGGAGGAGGGAATAACTGATTCTTTTTCATAATGTTTCTGTACGAAGAATTTCAGCAGTTTGGCAATTCTTCTCTCCCTGGGTGAGCAAGAAAGCTTAATGGGTGATTCCGATAGAAAATAAAATATAACCAAAAAAAGGTGTTAATCTATTTTGTTGCCTCAGTCAAGACAGACCGAGCGAATTGAGTTTATGCCTGTGGCTGTTCTGAAGGTACTAACACATTTCCATTAAAAATTTCAAGTATAGACAGTCCCCAAGTTACAAACACTTGACTTACAAATGACTCAGATAAGAGCGGGGGTGATACAACAGAAAATGGGAGGAATCTACATGTAGAAAGGGAAATTCATTCCTGGAAGAGTTATTATTATGGCAGAAAACATGTAGTAGCTGGCAGGCAAAACCCAAGGCATGGGACTGGAGGGAAGAGATTGCAGGTGAAAACTGAGGAAACCATTGAAACTGAGGTTTCCACAGAGGGCCAGGTCACAATTCCTCAAACTGTTGGAGGGCTGGATTATAATTTGGAAAAAAGAATGAATTCTTATGCACACTGCACATATCTTATTTGTAGTGCAAAAAACACTTTAAAAGAATACAATAATTAAAATGAACAATTTTAACAAATATAAACTTATTAGTATTTCAATGGGAAGTGTGGGACTGCTTTTGGCTGATGAGGTAGGATTGTTGTTGTTGTTGTTGTGTGCTTTCAAGTTGTTTCAGACTTAGGTTGATCCTGAGCGAGGGCCGGGCAAATGACCTTGGGAGGGCTGTATCTGGCCCCTGGGTCTTAGTTTGAGGACCCCTGATCTAATCCATGGGAGTCCCTGCCGGCACAATGGATTAAACACTTGTGCCGGCAGGACTGCTGACCAAAAAGTTGGTAGTTCGAATCCAGGGAGAGGGGTGAGCTATTTCTCATGCAGGAACATGAGAAGCCCCCCACCGGATGGTAAATCATCCAGGCGTTCCCTGGGCAAGATCATTGCAGACAGCCAATTATGTCACAACAGAAGTGACTTGCAGTTTTTCAAGTCGCTCCTGACACGAAAAAATAAAATAAAATCTAATCCCAGTCCTGTAAAGAAACCATGGAACAGGAGCAAAGTGAAGAAGCTGTATATGTTTCTGATGTATTTCCTGTGAATAAGAAGAGACATCTAAGTTTTCAACCCAAATGGTTCAGCAGATTTCCCTGGGTAGCCTAATCATTTTATGTACATGGTGCACTCTGTAAGTACTGTGCGGTGTTTGGAGGAGAAGTTGGGGGTAAAGGTTGTCATCAGAAGCTTGGTGCATTGGTTGCTAAATCATTTTGCGATATAAATATGCAATACAAGTCTTCAATGGACACCAAAAAATAGAGTACCATCAGAACAACTTGTGCTTGGCTGAAAACTTCTCGCTGATACACAGTGGAGAACACCGTTATCATGTCATCACAATAAAGGAAAGCAGAAGAAAACAGAAACTTCTGCCAATTGTGGAAATTCTTGTGCTTTGTGGCTGACAAGAACTGGCTTTAAGAGGGTGCAATGATTCAGGACCTGTGAATAACCTTTGCACGGTTTGGGACCTGCCTACCTGCATGACCGCATTTCTGTGTACGAACCCATGCGATCTCTTCGTTCATCTGGGGAGGCCCTGCTCTCGCTCCCACCTACCTCGCAGGCATGACTGGTGGGGATGAGGGAGAAGGCCTTCTCCATGGTGGCCCCTTGAGTCTGGAACTCACTCCCCAAGGATACCAGACAACCCCCCCCCCTCACATTGGCAGTCTTTAGGAGGAGCCTGAAAACGTGGCTGTTCCAGTCTGCCTTCCCTGAATAAAGGAAAAATCCCCTGCAAATACTCTGAGAAGAACTTTAATTACCCGTTGGGTTGCTCTTTACCTTTGATTTAAAACCCTCCTAATAGATACATCCTCTGTTCATGTCCAACATTTTTTTTTAAGTTTTAAACTATTACATCTGGCCCAGCCATAGGTTTTTAAATCTTTAAATTTTAAATTTTTTGTGTGTTATTTTCTATTTGTGAGTTTATTGATTGTATTGTGTATTTTGTTTACTGCTTGTTGTTTTATTATTGCTTCTTGATGTGTTATTGGGCTTGGCCTCATGTAAGCCGCTCGGAGTCCCTTGGGGAGATGGTGGTGGGGTATAAATAAAGTTTTATTATTATTATTACTAGCTGTCCCTTGCCACGCATTGCTGTGGCCCAGTCTGGTGATCTGGAAAATAAAGTAATGGTTTCTAATATATGTAATTCCTTTATGCTTGTGGGTAACCAGTATTTCTTGTTGTTTCTATGTCAGTGTTGATGTGGGGATTGTCTGGTTTGCCTACTCTGGAAGATGCAACATATCACTGTCCTTCTGTAGGGGTCCTTTTTAAATCTATGATACTATATCTGTGTGTGTGTGTGAATCATATCTCTCTCTCTCTATCTATCTATGGCTGGATGGCTCTTTGTCAGGAGGACTTTGATGACGTTTTCTTGCCCTGATGAAGGCAGTTGGATTGGATGGCCTTAAGTATTTTCTGTTGGTCACGGGGGTTCTGTGTGGGAAGTTTGCCCCGATTCTGTCATTCGTGGGGTTCAGAATGCTCTTTGATTGTAGGTGAACTGTGAATCCCAGTGACTACAACTCCCAAATGTCAAGGTCTTTTCCCCCAAACTCCATCTGTGTTCATATTTGGGCGTATTGAGTTCTTGTGCCAAGTTTGGTCCAGATCCATCATTGTTTGAGTCCACAGTGCTCTCTGGATGTAGGTGAACTACAACTCCCAAACTCAAGGTCAATGCCCCAAACCCTTCCAGTATTTTCTGTTGGTCATGGGAGTTCTGTGTGCCAAGTTTGGTTCAATTCCATCGTTGCTGGAGTTCAGAATGCTCTTTGATTGTAGGTGAACTATAAATCCCAGCAACTACAACTCCCAAATGACAAAATCATAATTTTTTGAGTGATGGTCACTCCTTGTGTTGTGAGACGTTTTGTTGCCAAATTTGGTGTGATTTCGTTCATTGGTTCTTTGTTTTTAAGGTACTCATTATGCACAGAGCATTTTTATATATATACATATAGATTATTATTATTATTATTATTATTATTATTATTATTAATAATGATGATGAGCTGGAGATGTCTCTGCCTTGGTCCTTTCACTATTGGCTGCTACTTCCTGGCGGATGTCAGGTGGTGCAATGCCGGCTAAGCAGTGTAATTTCTCCAGTGGTGTAGGGCACAGACACCCCATGATAATGCGGCATGTCTCATTAAGAGCCACATCCACTGTTTTAGCGTGGTGAGATGTGTTCCACACTGGGCATGCATACTCAGCAGAGTAGCATAGCGCAAGGGCAGATGTCTTCACTGTGTCTGGTTGTGATCCCCAGGTTGTGCCAGTCAGCTTTCGTATGATATTGTTTCTAGCACCCAGCTCATCCCTTGTTTGGGTATCAGCCAGCACGTCAACGACTTAAATCTAGAAATAGTTTTCTAAGATCTACAGAGACACTCGCTGGAACACCTCAGCAAGCGAGATCCAAAAGTGGCAGGCTCAAACCCAGAACCTCAACCATGGGTGATACCAGATGAGAGACTCCCCCCTGGGCACACAGAAGACTGGGCGACTTGGAAGGCGCCGAACAGACTGCGCTCTGGCACCACGAGATGCAGAGCCAACCTTCAGAAATGGGGCTACAAAGTTGAATCCACGACATGCGAGTGCGGAGAAGAACAAACCACTGACCACCTGCTCAATGCAACCTCAGCCTTGCTGCATGCACAATGGAGGACCTTCTTGCGGCAACACCAGAGGCACTCCAAAGGGCCAAATACTGGTCAAAGGACATTTAATCAACTACCAAGTTTTGTGTTTTTTTTTCTCTCTGTTTGTTTGTTTTGTTCTGTTAGAAATGTAATACAATGGTCTAGTTGCTGATGACACGATAAATAAATTATTATTAATGGTGATAATGCCAGGGTCTTGTTGAGATTTCCTACCAGATCAGGAGACTCTGGCCTGAGATGTCATCTCTGGAGTTAAAAACCTTTCAACCCTTCACGTCTGTTGTTTCTGTCTACGGGCCTGCCTGAAGTATTGGGGAGGGGCCGCCCTCAGGCCTGGCGGGTGCCCTTAGCGTCGCTCTCACAACATGAAGAGAGAAGAGTGTTGACAAGAATGGCAGCGCTCTCCCGCCTCCCTATTCACCCCCACTGGCGCTGGCTCTTTCCTTCTGCTTCGGAATACCTTATTTCCACAGGAAGACGCCTCTTGTCCCGCTCTCCCGGCCGCTCACTTTCCTCTGAGATGAGCAGAACGCCTCCCGCTGTGCTCTCTCGCAAGAGCGCTCTGAAGGGCCGTGACGTCATCAGGCCGCGCTCGGAAGGGCCATGGAGCTGCTGCGGGAGGCCTGCGTGAGGGACCCGCTCCGGCTCCTCCCGGGGGGCTTCTGGGAGGCCGTGGGCGTCTGGCTGGAGAGGCCCCAGGTGGCCAACAAGCGCCTCTGCGGCGCCCGCCTCGATGCTTCCCGCAGGGCCGCCAAGCCTGGCCGCGGGGGCGAAGGGAAGCTGCTGGAGGGGCCGCCTTGGGAGGCTCTCCAAGCCTCATGCTGCCGGGAGGCCCTCGGCCTGGATGGTAGTCCCGGGGAAGAGGAGGGACTGGAGGTGGTTCTGCGTACCCTGGTGCCCAAAGCCAGCACTCCCGCCCCTGCCCAGGAAATGGTCGTGAAAGGTAAGTGGAAGGCCTGGAGGAGAGGCCCAAGCCTCCCTCCTGCTGTGACCACACATCTTAGCTTTGGTATACTCAAGAATTGAAGTCTTATGGCAACATGAATTACTGACAACTGGCAAATAGAGGGAGAAAACGTGGAGGCAGTGAAAGACTTTGTATTTCTAGGTGCAAAGATTCCTGCAGCCAGGAGAGCTCCCGCCTTTGCTGTGGAGTTCCCCAGGGTGCTATCCTCTCGCCTCTGTTATTTAACATCTACGTCCGGCCACTTGCTGGACTGGTGCGGAGCTTTGGCATAGAGTGCTACCAGTATGCAGATGATACCCATCTACTCTTGCGTCTCGAACCTGGAACAACTGTGATTCCTGAGAACTTTAAGCTGTGTTTGGAAGCAGTGATGAGTTGGCTACGAGCAAGCAGACTAAAAGTCAATCCTGCAAAAACTGAGATACTCTGGCCCGGTCAGCCGCCAGAATTAACCCAGTCTCTGCCTGATTTCGATGGGGGAGCTCTGGTTCCGTCTGCCACTGTTAAAAGCCTTGGGGTTGTGTTGGACTCATCGCTGACGATGGAGGCCCAGATCACTGCCATAAGTAAGCAGGCCTTTTTTCATCTTTGCCAGGCAAGGAAATTGGCATCCTACCTTTCGGTAGAAGCATTGGCAACAGTAATCTACGCAACAGTCACCACGAGGTTGGACTATTGCAGTGCCTTATATGCTGGCCTTCCGAAGTCAACAACCCAGAAGATTCGGATGGTCCAAAATGCGGCGGCCAGGCTGCTAGCGGGATCATCTATAAGATCCCATATTACACCGATTCTGCAACAACTGCATTGGCTACCAATAGAAAATCGGGTCTCTTACAAGATACTGATCCTGACATTTAGAGCTCAAAATGGCCAAGGACCTTTATATCTTAGGGACCGCCTCATTCCTTTTCCCCATCAGTGGTCTCTTCGATCCACCCAGGAAAATCTCCTCTACATACCGGGTCCTAGGGAGGCACATTTGGAAGCTACAAGGCGTAGAGCTTTTTCGATCTATGCTCCAAGTCTGTGGAACTCATTGCCTCCATATATTAGATCAATGTTGGAGTTGCGACCTTTTACAAAGGCGCTCAAGACTTGGCTGTTTGGTTGTGCATTTAAGTAACCGGATCAAATTTTGCCATAGTCACTGCTGAATGTTTTTATGTTGAATGTTTTATGTTGAATGTTTTTATGTTGAATGTTTTTATATTGAATGTTTTTATATTGAATGTTTTATATTGTGTATAAACTGTTTTAAATTGTAAGTCGCTCGGAGCACCTTGGTGGAGAGCGACTAATTAAGAAATAAAGTGATGATGATGATGATGATGATGATGATGAAATCAGGAGACACTTACTTTTTGGGAGGAGAGCAATGACCTATCTCGATAAAATAATGAAGAGTAGAGACATCACACTGGCAACGAAGATCCGCATAGTTCAGTGGTTCCCAACCTTCCTAATGCCGTGACCCCTTAATACAGTCCCTCATGTTGTGGTGACCCCCAACCATAATATTGTTTTCATTCCTACTTAATAACAGTCATTTTACTACTGTTATAAATCATAATGTAAATATCTGATATGCAGGATGCATTTTCATTCACTGGACCAAACTGGGCACAAATACCCAATACACCCAAATGTGAATGCTAGTGGGGTTGGGGGAGAATTGATTTTGTAATTTGGGAGTTGTAGTTGCTGGGATTTATAGTTCACTTATAATCAAAGAGCATTCTGAACTCCACCAGCGATGGATTTGAACCAAACTTTGCTCCCATAACCAATGGAAAACACTGGAAGGGATTGAGGGGCATTGACCTTGAGTTTGGGAGTTGTAGTTCACCTATATCCAGAGAGCACTGTGGACTCATGCAATGGTGGATCTGGACCAAACTTGGCACGAATACTCAATATGCCCAAATGTGAACACTGGTGGAGTCTGGGGAAAATAGATCTTGACATTTGGGAGTTGTAGTTGCTGGGATTTATAGTTCATTACAATCAAAGAACATTCTGAACTCCACCAACGATAGAATTGACTCAGACTTCCCACATGGAATCCCCATGACCATCAGAAAATACTGTGCTTTCTTATGGTCTTTGGCGACCCCTCTGACATCCCCTCGCGACCCCCTCAGGGGTCCCGACCCCCAGGTTGAGAAACACTGGCATAGTCAAAGCACTGGTATTCTCCGTAGTAACGTAGGAGCCCCCGGTGGCGAAGTGGATTAAACCCCTGTGCCGGCAGGACTGAAGACCAACAGGTCGCAGTTCGAATCCGGGGAGAGGTGGATGAGCTCCCTCTGTGAACTCCAGCTCCTCATGAAAGAAGCCTCCCACAAGGATGATAAAAACATCAAATCATCCACACGTCCCCTGGAAAACGTCCTTGCAGACAGCCAATTCTCTCACACCCAGAAGCGCCTTGCAGTCACTCTTGACAAGACAAAAAAAATCCTACGGATGTGAGAGCTGGACCACAGGGAAGGCTGAGCAAAGGAAGATAGATGCTTTTGAACTGTTATGCTGGAGGAATGTTCTGAGAGTGCCTTGGACAGCGAGAAGGTCTAACCAGTCCATACTTCAAGAAATAAAGCCTCACTGCTCATTGGAGGGAAGGATAGTAGAGGCCAAGATGAAGTACTTTGGCCACATCATGAGAAGAAAGGAAAGTTTAGAGAAGACAATGATGCTGGGGAAAATGGAAGGAAAAAGGAAGACCAAGTGCAAGATGGATGGATGGTATCCTTGAAGTGACTGAATTGACCTTGAAGGAGCTGGAGGTGGTGACGACTGACAGGGAGCTCTGGCGTGGACTGGTCCATGAAGTTACGAAGAGTCGGAGACGACTGAACGAATGAACAACAACATTGTTGAAGGCTTCCATGGCTGGAATCACTGGGTTATAGGTTTTTCGGGCTATATGGCCACGTTCTAGAAGCATTCTCTCCTGGCGTTTCGCCTGCATCTGTGGCAAGCATCCTCGGAGGTTGTGAGGTCTTGTCTCACAATTGAAGTCTTTTCTCTTGTGTAGTAAGTCTATACTTCCTGTCAGTGAAAGCAGGTGTCTTAAAGCCTTGCCCTCTCCCTTTCTCTCTCTTCAGAAAGGCAAAGGGCACTCGTTCACCTGTCAAAATAGACTGAGATCTAAGGCCCCTTCCACACAGCTGTATAAAACCCCACATTATCTGCTTTGAACTGGGTTACATGGCAGTGTTTATTCAGATAACCCAGGGCTGGCTGATATCCAAACAGGGGATGAACTGGAGATGTCACTGCCTTAGTCCTTTCACTATTGGTTGCTACTTCCCGACGGATGTCAGGTGGTGCCATACCGGGCTAAACAGTGTCATTTCTCCAGTGGTGTAGGGAGCAGACACCCCGTGATAATGCGGCATGTCTCATTAAGAGCCACATCTACTGCTTTAGCGTGGTGAGATGTGTTCTACACTCAGCAGCAGAGTAGCATAGCGCAAGGGCAGCTGTCTTCACAGTGTCTGGTTTTGATCCCCAGGTTGTGCCAGTCAGCTTTCGTATGATATTGTTTCTAGCGCCCACTTTTTGCTTGATATTCAGGCAGTGTTTCTTGTAGGTCAGAGCATGGTTCAGAGTGACTCCCAGGTATTTGGGTGTGCTGCAATGCTCCAGTGGGATTCCTTCCCAGGTAATCCTCAGAGCTCGGGATGCTTGTCTGTTCTTAAGGTAAAAAGCACATGTCTGTGCTTTAAATGGATTAGGGATCAGCTAATAGGCAGTAAGAGCACCTAGAGCTTCGGAGAGCTTCTGTTCAACCATCTCAAAGCTTGAGCGGTAATGGCACGATCATCAGCATAGATGAAACTCTCTCCCTTCTGGCAGTGGCTGGTCATTTGTGTAAATGTTGTACATGGATGGAGCAAGCACGCTCCCCTGAGACAGGCCGTTTTTCTGTTTCCGCCATCCGCTTCTCTGGCTCTGGAACTCAACAAAAAAGCTCCTGTTTTGTAGCAGGTTTCCTATGAGGCGGGTGAGGTGGTAGTCCTTTGTGATATTATACATTTTTCTCAGGAGGAGGCAATGGTTTACAGCAGTGGTTCTCAACCTTCCTAATGCCATGACCCCTTAATACAGTTTCTCATATGGTGGTGACCCCCAACCATAAAATTAGTTTCGTTGCTACTTCATACCTGTCATTTTGCTGCTGTTATGAATAGTAATGTAAATATCTGATATGCAGGATGTATTTTCATATACTGGACCAAATTTGGCACAAATACCCAATACACCCAAATTTGAATACTGGTGGGATTGGGGGAGGGTATTGATTTTGTCCTGTGGGAGTTGTAGTTGCTGGGATTTATAGTTCACCTACAATCAAAGAGCATTCTGAACTCCACCAACAATGGAATTTAACCAAACTTGGCACACAGAAGTCCCATGACCAACAGAAAATACTGGAAGGGTTTGGTGGGCACTGACCTTGAGTTTGGGAGTTGTAGTTCACCTAGATCCAGAGAGCACTGTGGACTCAAACAATGATGGATCTGGACCTAACTTGGCACAAATACTCAATATGCCCAAATCTGGCATTTGGGGAAAATAGATCTTGACATTTGGGAGTTGTAGTTGCTGGGATTTATAATTCACCTACCATGAAAGAGCATTCTGAACCCCATCAATGATAGAATTGGCCCAAACTTTCCACTCAGAACCCCCACGACCAACACAACATACTGTGTTTTCTGATGGTGTTTGGCGACCCCTCTAACACCCCCTCGCGACCCCCTCAGGGGTCCCGACCCCCAGGTTGAGAACCACTGGTTTACAGTATCATAAGCCGCTGACAGGTCTATGAAGACAGCTCCTGTGATCTGCTCCCTCCCGCTGTGGCCACTCTCTTTCAAAGTAGGCTGGTGTCTCATGGCAATCAAAGTTGAGTCAAACTGCATTGATTATGTACTTTGGGTGCACCCTAGGGTAGTAGAATTGTTGTTAATTAGCTTCAGCAGCTTTCTTTCTTTCATCCTTGACTTCCATCTCTAGTGGGTTGCATGCTGCAAGTTGCAAGAAGAGCAAACCACAGACCACCTACTACAATGCAGTCTGAGCCCTGCCACATACACAATGGAGGACCTTTAAACAGACACCAGAGGCAATCCAAGTGGCCAGCTTCTGGTCAAAGGACATGTAGCATTATGCCAAGGTTTTTTTTAAACAACTTTGTGTTTTAAATACATTTTAACTGTGCCCTCAACTCACTTCTGACACGATAAATACATAAATCTCTAGTGGAAGTGCCAAGATTCCTCACAAGGTTACTGAAAGGATTACAACAGATTGATTTACATTAATTTTTTTGTACCAAGTATTCTATAAATTCTGATGTTCTAAAGAATTCTTATCATACCCTCTGCAAATATTTACAGATATCGTTAAAGGGGTAGTAACCTTTTTGCCTTTGGAGCAAACTCATGAGGGCAAGTACAAGATCAAGAATTGCAATATTTATCAAATTCAACTTACGCACAAACAAGACAATGAGTGGTGAGTACTGAAAACATGTACCATTATTCTGAGTGTTTTTTTCTTGTGATAAACATGTCTTATAGAATTAGTGTTTGTGATCCCAGTTTAGATTGGTTACCTGAACTATGGTATATTAAACATTTTTTCCATTCTATAGGGTTCAGATAGACCAAGCTTCTTCTATGCTGTTTTTAAAAAATGGTTGTCTGGTTTTAAAACTATTTCAAGACTATTTTTTAAAAAGTTATTTGTTCTACATTTCAAAGTGTTTTTATTGATTGTGCATTGCCTCGAATGCCCCAGGGGGCCAAGAGGCAAAAATAAATACCTTGAACAAATAAATGATTAATGTATAACTAAGTTGAAATCTGAAATTGGCAACAAAATCTTAACTGGGGTTAGATGTGGGCACAGTGATACATCTTGTAATTATATCCAGATTGAATTATTTCAGTGTGCTGTACATGGATCCACTTTTGAAAAGTTGCTGGAAACTTCCACTAGTGAAAAATATGGCATCAAGGATTCTATTGAATACTTACCCTCCCACAATGCATACACTTCAATTCTGGGTTCAATTCTGTTCATTGATGTGTTAACCAATATTGGCACAGAGTTCTAGTTGCTTCTTTTTATATCAAGGATAGACATATGGTGCTCCATAACTTTTGCAAACCACTTTGAGTCATGGTACTTTAGCACATAAGGCAGGCAAACCAGCATTGAAGTTACACCATCAGTGTTATTGAATCGCATCTCCTGTCATGTATCCCCACTGAAAACTCAATTTGGGGGCCCTTCCAAATAGTCATATAACCCAGAATATCAAGGCAGAAGATCCCACAATATCTGCTATCAACTGGATTATCAGAATCCACACTGCCATATTTTCCAGTTAAAAGCAGAAAATGTGGGGTTTTACTCAGCTGTGTGGAAGGGCCTGAGTCCACACTGCCATATATTCCAATTCAAAGCAGATAATGTGGGATTTTATTCAGCACTTCAAAGGGGCCTTGGGTCCCTTCCACACAGCCCTATATCCCAGAATATCATGGCAGAAGATCCCACAATATCTGCTTTGAACTGGGTTATCTGAGTCCACACTCAGATAATGTGGTATTTTCTGTCTTGATGTTCTGGGATATAGGGGTGTGTGGAAGGGCCTTAGGTCTGGTGGGAGTGAAAGTCCAAAGACATTTAGATATTTCACAATTTCACCACAGATTGTCAACCCCTGGCCTCAATGATTAGCGCCAGTGTTCATCTCTGCTCTTAGATGTGTAGGAATGTTTGCTATCTGTTGCACAGTAGAGCTTAGTGTAGCCTGTCATATATATGAGCTGATGATAGGAAACAGTCAAAAATATTTAGGATATTTATGTGATCAGGTTTTAAAAAGGTAAAAATTACTTTTATTGTCCGAGCAAGATTGTCCTCCAAGTGCAGTGTCCTGGCGGTAGGTATGTAGGTACTGTGGAGCCCTTTTCTTGACCCGCATGTTCTCCCACAATGAAGGCATCAGTTTCCAAGTGGAAGGCGGTCCCGATCAGGATTCGCTTGAGGCGCCTTCCTATTGGCACGTTTCTCTCTTTTGCCCTCCATTCATGCCTCTTCAAATTCTACAGCATTGCTGGTCACAGCAGACCTCTAGCTAGAGCACTCAAAGGCCAGGGCTTCCCAGTTGTCGGTGTCTATGCCACAGTTTTTAAGGTTGGCTTTGAACCCATCTTTAAATCTCTTTTCCTCCAAAATTCCGTTTTCCATTCTTAAGTTCGGAGTAGAGTAACTGCTTTGGGAGCCTGTGATCGGGCTTGCAGACAACATGCAGAGCTGAATGAAAAGTATTAAATTACTCTGATTTTTTTGTTTTGTTTAAAGGTCCATATCAGTTTTATCATCATCAGAAAACTATATTTCGGATGGAATTATATATCCCAAAAGAACATGGCTTAAAAATGAACTTCTGTCAAAACTGGCAAAGTGGTCTACAGAGACTATAAAGAATGAATTTAAAAGTACTCTCTCGCTCATTTCTGTGGAAAAATACAGCAAGATTTACCAAGATTTAAAGGAGAAATACAAAGAGATTGTAAAGGTAAATAGGAATGGAACAGGACCGACTTTTTCACTGTCTTTTTATTTGAGATATACCATATTTTCTGGCATATATGACAACTGGACGTATAAGACGACTCCCAACTTTTCCAGTTAAAATAAAGAGTTTGGGATATACTCATCTTATAAGACTATCCCTCTTCCAATGCACACCAAATAATTTAAAAAACATCAGATTTGATTTCAATACACTAATTTTCCTATTACCATACCTCCTTCACCGTACATGCACGCCTGCGCCGCTTCACTGCAGTCATCAGGAGCGAGAACTGAGAAGCAGAGAAGGAGGTATGGTAATAGGATACAAGGGTGGGCCAGATGGGTGAAAGAGACGTGTTTTTCTGTGCACAGCGCCACTTTCCCCATACCTTGGGCATCCCGGATGCCTTCAGCTTGCTCCATCCTTCACTTACACCTTCACGGTGAGGAGCCCCTCACCTCGTCATTGGGGCCACATTAAGTCACTTCTTTCCACAAATCCTGTACAGCGCTTCCTTTGCTGTTTTCATACAGTTGCCTCATATGGTGGGAATGTGGCCACAGCCGTTTTTGAGCTCTCCCCACCATATGCGGTGACCACAGATTCTCCAGTCTGGCTCAGAACTTTCAGCACCCACCCTATAAGATGATACCCAGTGTATAAGACGACTCCAAACTTTTGAGAAGATTATCCTGAGTTAAAAAGTAGTCTTATATGCCAAAAAATGCAATACATGGGAATGATTGACTTACAAGCTTTATGCATTCTGAAGAAACTCCTTCACTGTTTGACAGACATGTTTGCACCTTTCATCTCCTCACACCAAATTTCAACTAATCAGAATTTTCTTAAAATGATGGATTCATGCAGGGTTTTATACCAAACAATGGGGCATAAGTAAGAGGCGGTGCAATTACTTTATATGTTGAAAGCCTGTTTGTAAGTAGCTTATCTCCCAGAGGCGCTACCTGAGTTAGTCATGAAACTAAATGGAAAGTGACTCTGAACTTACACCTAAAGGATGCTCAGTGCATGACCTGAATGTTCTTGAACTGATTGGAAACAGTGATATATGCAATTTAACTTCCTATTTTCCACCATGGAACTTACCAAGGGCTACACAGACTATAATAATGCCCCCTTCCCATTCCTCTTTATGTAGATATATATACACACATGCATGCACTGGTTAATTTGACTAACATACAGTAGTTAATATTTGCAGCGAATTGCCTTCTTACTTTGCTTGTTCATCTGCAGGTTTGGCCTGAAGTCACAAATCCAGAAAAGTTTGTATATGAAGATGTTGCTATAGCTGCATATCTGCTGGTAAGTAAGAGTCAAAAACCTAAATAACAGAATATCCATAAAAATGTATATACTCAAACAGGGAAATAACAATGGATTCTTGAAGAAGAAAAATTTATTGCCAAAAGTTAAAATTGGGCAAAAAACTTTCAGAATTTAACTTAAAACATATTGAGCAGAATTCTTTGAGAAGCAGACAAAATAGCAGTCTTGGTGAACCAAAACTGGCAGATGTTAGTCTGGTGTTTTAAAATAGTTTACTTGTTCATGTTTCCAGTGCTGTTTCTAATTAAACTATCTGAAGACTAGAGCTATGTATTTACTCATTCATTTCATTTGTATATCACACCTTTCACCAAGATTTCAGTGGATCATGATAATAAAAACAATACAAGTAGAAACAGTAATTTCATTTTTTTAAAAAAAAATTAAGACATTAAAGTATTTACAATATTAAAATCATAAAATCTCTTTGATATCTGTAAATTAATGTGGATGCCTCCTACTAGCTTTTAAAACTTGGATTTGATTTTTCCCTCTAGATCATTTGGGAAGACGAGAGAGCTGAGAGAGGGCTTTCAAAGAAACAATCTTTTGTTGATCTTGGTTGTGGAAATGGTCTGCTAGTTCACATCTTGAACAACGAAGGGGTAAATAGTTTCATTGAGAGAGGAAAAAACCCAGATATAACTGTTTTCCCCATTTCCCATTTAGTTAAATTAATTGGAATATCACTGTGTGTGCCAGTATTTTTCCTCTCAACCTTCTCTTTTATTCCTGCCCACCTAAACAAAATTTTGCTTCCATGATCCCAGGGTAATACCAATAGGAGTAGGACAGGCTGCTTGAACTTACAGCCCTCCAAGTGTTTTGGACTTCAGGTCCCAGAATTCCTTACAATTTAACAAGCTGGCTAGGGCTTCTGGGTGTTGGAGGCCCAAACACCTGGAGGGCCTCAGGTTGAAGAGTATTGATAGAGTATTATTTCTATCAGGGCGGACAGAAGCAAGGTCTCTGTAGCTCAGTGGTTCTCAACCTGTGGGTCCCCAGGGGTTTTGGCCTACAACTCCCAGAAATCCCAGCTGGCTTACCAGCTATTAGGATTTCTGGGAGTTAAAGGCCAAAACATCTGGGGACCCACACGTTGAGAACCACTGCTGTAGCTGCTCTGATCCAGACAAAGGGCTGAGATCAGGAGGGTTTGTTTGTTTGGTTTTTTTGTGATCAAGGGATTGATCAGATTATAATGTAATTTTTTTTTGTCGTGTCAGGAGTGACTTGAGAAACTGCAAGTCTCTTCTGGTGTGAGAGAATTGGCCATCTGCAAGAATGTTGCCCAGGGGACGCCCGGATGATTTGATGTTTTTATCATGCTTGTGGGAGGCTTCTCTCATGTCCCCACATGAGGAGCTGGAGTTGATAGAGGGAGCTCATCTGCCTCTCCCCGGATTCGAACCTGCGACCTGTCAGTCTTTAGTCCTGCCAGCACAGGGGTTTAACCCACTGCGCCACCGGGGGCTCCAGATTATAATGCAATAATAATATTAGAATGTAATGCTACTACTACTACTAATATGATATTATAAATTATATATTTATATTACATGTAATATTACTAATAATATTACAATATAATATTATAGTACAATATAGTAATATTTAATACTGATATTGTACTATGCTAATAACATAATATATTGTATGTATACATATCTTGTATGCTGCTCTGGGTGGCATATAAATGTCATAAATAAATAAATAAATAAATTACAATGTCCCGTTGGCTGATAGTTCAGGCCAGAGTATTTTATACGTTTCTTTTTTTATGGTATTTGTGTATCATTCTCATAGTTATATTGTGTGCTACAATGGAACCTATTGGCAGTTAATAAATCTTACTCTCAGAGACCCCAAAATGTATAGCATAATATCCATGGCTGGCTGGCATTACAACTTTTTCTTTATGTCCCACCCCCACCCTGAAATGCTCGACCAGTTACTAAGTATTAAGTGTCATGGTGGTTTTACAAACAGGCATAGGACCTACTGTCACATATTACATTCAGAATTGAGTACTGTTGGCACTCTGTGTCTCCACAGTGACTTCAGGAAATATGGTGGCCTTCTGTCCATAGGAGAGATGTGAAACTGTGAGCCCCAATTGACTAACCATGTATGAAATCTTTCAGCATCCAGGCAAAGGTATTGATGTCCAAAGAAGAAGAATATGGGACATGTATGACCCATATACACACTTGGAGGTATTGTTAATACTCGTGTTTTCACATTTAATATCTTTACCAACTGATTCTTGGCCAGAGTTATCAAATGCAGTATGGAGTGTTGATGTTGTTAATTTTTAATTGATTGTCCTTTTCTGCTCAAGCCTTTGCCTGCAACACTGAGGGTTAGGTACTAACTTAACCTTCTACAAGGTTCAAGCAGGGAGGCCTCAACTTCTGCTATTCCCTCTGTCCCACTGCATAAGACCCTCTAAACACCAATTGCAGGGTTTGAGAGCTCTTAGAGTAAGGGGGACACTATATGTTCCTTCTGGTAGAAACAAAATCTATAAAGTAAAGGTAAAGGTTTCCCCTTGACATTAAGTCTAGTCCGACTCTGGGGGTTGGTGCTCATCTCCATTTCTCACCTGAAGAGCCGGCGTTGTTCGCAGACGCCTCCAAGGTCATGTGGCTGGCATGACTGCATGGAGCTCTGTTACCTTTTCACCAAAGCGGTACCTATTGATCTACTCACATCTGCATGTTTTCGAATTGCTAGGTTGGCAGAAGTTGGGGCTAACAGTGGGAGCTTACCCTGCTCCCCAGATTTGAACTGCCAATCTTTCGGTCAGGAAGTTCAGTGGTTCAACAAAATCTATATCGGGTAAATTCGCAAAAGTAATGAATGCTGTTTGGAATTACTTTAATTTCCATGGCTCAGTGCTATGGAATAATGAATTGTAGCTTTATAAGGCCTTTAGCATTCTTTGTCAAAGAATGCTGGTGCCTCACCAAGAGGGGTTTTGCTTTTGCCTTCTTTTGAGGCTGAAAGGTTTGATGAGCAAGAATTTGAACCTTGGGTTGTAGAATCTTCGAAAAATGCTCAAACCACTATTCCATTCTGGTTCCTCATCTGATATAAAGAACTGTTTGTTTTTTTCAGGAAAATATAGTGAGTCCAAACAATTTGTACCCAGATGTTGACTGGTTGATTGGAAATCATTCTGATGAACTGACACCATGGATACCCGTTATTGCAGCCAGGTACTGGTTTTCAGTATTCTAGGAGCATCTCTGAAACTTGGAATAAGGAATCAGTATATGAATGACACTTTTAGCACACTGCATATTGAAATAATTAAGAATCATACAATTTAAAAATTGTGAAGTTCAACTGCATAAAAATACTGGTGCATTTCAAAGATACATTAGGAGAGGAATATTTGATGCTGGAATTGTAGTAAAAGCTTCTCTAAAACAATATGAGAGCTGCGTAAAAAATAGCTGTCAATGGAAGAAGCCCATTCCTGGGAAGTCAATAATATTTTTACTTAATTAGAATATAATTAATTAGATAGAATTAATAGGATAGAATCTCTATAATAGCTAAGCACACATTTCTCTTTCTAAACATTGACATAGGACAGATTCAGCTGAATTATTTCATAAATTTAAAAACTGAGCATCTTATTAAAACGTTAATTGGTATTATTTCTAAGATCTGAAAGGTAAGAAATTTGAGATCAATCAAATCTTGAGAAATACTAGACTTCTTCTTTACTTATGTCAAGTCTAGAATGTACAATAGTTCATATGCATACAGAAAAATGCCCTTTTAAAATTGAATACCTCAATCTCTCATCCCTGTAACAGGTCTTCTTATTCTTGTCGATATTTCCTATTGCCTTGCTGTTTCTTTGATTTCCATGGAAAGTACAACCGAAGGCAAAGTAAGAAGACTCAGTACAGAGAATACCTTGATTTTGTAACGGAAGTGGGAGTTGCATGCGGTTTTCATGTGGAAGAAGACTGCCTTAGAATCCCTTCAACAAAAAGAGTAACTTCCATTTTCATTGGTCTTAAAATGTCTTTATTATTTATCACTATATTGTACTATACCATTATACTGTAATATTATTAGTAATATTACATGTAATATAAAATATATAATTATAATATTGTATTATTATTAGTATTATATTGTATTACATTATAATGTTATCAATAGTATATGTATATACAATATATTATATTACATTAATTGCTTTACTTTTAACTGTCACAGTTTGAGTGTGTCAAAAAACGCCCAAAGGGATAAAATCTATCAAGGGTGGTACATCTTCACTTTCCTCATGAATATCTTACAGTGCTGCATGATTTACTTACTTCCTTGAAATAATGTGGGAGAGGTAATTTAAATGTATTTACAAAAGCTGTAGAGTTAATAGGTATAAACTTTGCACAACCTCAGTTATGAGAACAGTAGCAGTGTATAAGTGCAGTGAATATGGTTAATCACAACTAAGCAAGGAAAATAACTGGTTTCAAGACTAAATATAGCAGAGACTGGTTTGATTTCAGGCTAAAATTACAATCATCTTTCCACATTTGCTGTTTTGACTTTTGTATATTTGATTATTCTAGAAATTAATTAAAATGTTCTTTCTAGGAATCTCTTGGGCCTCCATTGCTCTTTAGCAGCCTTGGGTCCTCCTGGTGTTTTGTACTTCAGCTTCCACAATTCCTTACAGCTTGTAAACTGGATGGGATTTCTGGGAGCTGAAGTCCAAAACAACCAGAGGAACAAGTCTTTGGAGCCATTGCCCTGTAGACAGCTTCCAGCAGACTTTAAGACCTTTAGAAGACAGCTAAAGACCTGGCTGTGGAACCAAGCATTCGGCCCATCATAGGAATATTTAAAGTTAAAGTTAAAAGTGCAGTGACCCAGGATTGTTTACGCACAATGGCTATGTGTTTGTGTGATATGTAATGTTATTTTATATGATGTGTTTAATAAGGTTTAATGTTATATCAGGGGTCAATTTTGATGTTTTATACTGTTTTTTATCGATGGCATTGAATTATTACCAATGCTGTGAACCACCCTGAGTCCCTTTGGGGTTGAGAAGGGCGGTATATAAATGCCTCAAATAAATAATAACAGGTGTTATCTCAAGTTTAAAAATATAGCATTTTGTTTATTTGAGGTTCATGGGGGTCCTGTGCCCCTTACCCCAGCGAATATGGACTGACTGTAATCATTCTTTGGTGCCATCTAAATAATTGAGACAAGGTGATTCTGACTTATAGGAGTTTGATAGTTTTGAAGTGTGACTGGTGTAGCTGTAGTATACATCACAGTTGACTCCAAGTTTTCATACACTAGACATCCGAGATTGATGGAACTTCCATATTATTTTATATCAGTACAGCTTTCATAGGTTTTCTCTCTCACATTCTTTTCACTTCAGGTTTTTTATAACCAATATAGTGCAATTGTATTCTGATTTTTTTTGGATAGTCTAGTGCTGAGACTGACAATATAGTTTATATTCAATTGATTAGAAAAGGATCTTCCTTGATACAGATTGCCTGGTAGCTCTTGGTTTTACAACCAGACTGTAGTTGCCAGAATCAGATTACTGGTATTTGTTTTCTTCCCTTACCTTCAGCAATCGAGAAATCTTTCTGCTTTCAGTTACTGCTTTCAGCATTTCTTTGTAGACAGGAAATTGGGCAAGGAAAACAGTGGTGTGTGTGTCATATATAGAGTGTCTTAAGTCAGGAGATTAACAACCATTGACCGGATCTTATTGCCCTCTACTTTGGTGGAGTCTACCTTAGCACAGTAAGGAGTTATTGGCACCTAAATAAACATTGTCTTATTCCTAGGTCTGCCTAATTGGGATGTCTAGAACCTACCTTGCAGCACAAGAGAATGTACTTGAGGAACAGCGAGCACAATATATCAACAGACGCCAATTATGCGGCATAACAACCCCAGAGAATGGCAGCTTCTTAGCTGTAAATGATGCCACTGACTTGGTAGCAGACGATGAAGTATCTGAAGAGATAAACATGGACAAAGTTTTAATATCTGGGTTTCTGCCCAGGACTAAAGAACAAATGAGAAACTGTACTACTCTGCCTCAGGATTTTGTAGACAGAGTAGTTTTGAGAGTAGCAAATCTATTATTAAAGGAAACCAAAGAGAGTCCATTTGGAAATGCAAGCACATGGAATAGAGGAGGTAAATTCTTTGTTTATTTCTTCATTTTGCATATTTATATAAAAATGAAAATTACAACTGATAGAAGGTGAACTTTCACCATGGTAATAGGCTTTTTAGAGTGCTCAGAGCAAAACATTCTAATAAGTAATATATTATTGCAAAATGTACACACATCTGTACTTTTTCTAACAAGTCTTTGTGTAGATTCTGAACAGGTGGCATCCTGATCAGCTATGAGATCAGTTTGCCTATCTGAATGTATCTCCCTCTAGGAGCCAGCTAGGAGATTAAGATCTTCTGGGGAGGCCCTGCTCTTGGTCCCACCTCCTTCGCAGGTGCAGTTGGTGGGGACGAGAGACAGGGCCTTCTCAGTGGTGGTCCCTCGGCTGTGGAACTCCCTCCCCAATGAAATCAGATCAGCCACCTCCCTCCTGATCTTCAGGAAAAAGATGTGGATGTGGGACCAAGCTTTTGGCCAAGAACAGTGCAATAAGAGAACAAGAATGGTACAATGACAATTGGAATGGCCTTGGGCTATGATATCGGATTGTGTGATTTTAAATGAGTGGTTTTAATGTTTGATATGTTTTTAAATGATTGTTTTAATGTACTTGTTTTATTTTATTTGATATATGTTAATGTGGCATCAAATTGCTGCTTTTATATGCATCTTAAGCAGCAAATTGGCTAACTATGAAATAGATGCAGATCCATCAAATGGATCTGCAACTGGTTAGAAACCAGTTACAAAAGGATAGATTTCAATTAAACATTAGCAGGAAATTATTTGCAATAAGAATGCTTTGACAGTAGAACACATTGCCTAAAGAGGTGGTGGACATGTTAGAGATACTGAATTTTAAACAGAGGCTGATGGCCATCTGTCAGGGATACTTTGTGCTTTTCTGCATGGCAAGGGGATTGGACTAGATGGTCCATGTGGTCTCTTCCAACTCTGTTATTCTATGGTTCCATGAACTGAGAAGGAGGTTGGAATTGATGGCCCATGAAGCCTTTTCCAACCCTATATTTCTGTGATTTTGTAAGCTGGGCTATATGTGCACCCACTTAATCACAGAAGAATATGTTCCATAGGACACATAGAATAGTGACACAGTTTTCAGAAACTTAAAATAAAGACATTTATTTATTTATTTATTATTCAAACTTATATGCCGCCACTCTCCTGTGGCTCGGAACGGCTTACAAGAACAAGCTAAAATCTAACACAATTTAAAACAATTTAAAAACAGCAATATCAAAGATCAAAGGCCTGTCAAAACAGATATGTCTTACATGCCATGTGGAAAGCTGATAAGTCCCGCAAGGTACGGACTTCAGGTGGCAGAGTATTCCAGAGTGATGGTGCCAGTGCTGTAAAGGCTCTGCGTCTGGTTGCTGTTAGATGCAAGGTTGGCCTTCCATTTTCAGCACAAGCTGAGTGTCATCAGCGTACAGGTAACACTCAAGCCCAAAACCTCGAACCAGCTGAGCAAGTGGTCGCATATAAATGTTAAACAACTATCATTAAGGACTAACAGCTTTTTTTTTTCCTTGAATGTATTATTTACTGTAGTGAGTCTTACCTTAGGAGAAGTTGCAGAACATTTAGATAAGGAAACATTAAAAACTCTGAAGAATGAATACGGAGGGCTCCAAACCTTGCTGAGAAACAATCATCAAGTGTTTGAAGGTAAGAACTGGGAATGTGATGTGATTTTGGCTCCCTATATCTTGGTTTTAAAACACCGTTACTAGAATGACATCTACGACTTCTCACAGAAGGCATTTTACTACATTATTTTTTTCCCCTATGGATGGAATTGAGTAGAAATATCACATAATTGTGCACAAAAATCCAGCCACAATGATTGACCAAGATTTTCCTGCTCTAGAGGCAGGGTGTACCCTGCTTCTGGAAAGTGGTCAGAGCGTCTTCAGAACTCTCCCTTTGTTAGTCTTTTACTCAGAAAGGAGAGGGGATTTTTGTTGGTGCTAAAAATGTACAAATTGCATTGCAGGACCAAACCTGGCTCTTCCAAGTACTTCTTCCATAGTGGAAAGAGGACTGTTCAGGCCAAACTCATGTTCTAACCCTACCTTTAGCCTTTGGCCTTCCTTTCAGCCATGGGTCCTCAAACGTTTTAAACAGAGGGCTAGGTCACAGTCCCTCAAACTGTTAGAGGGCTGGATTATAATTTGATAAAAACATAAATGAATTCCTGTGCACTCTGCACATATCTTATTTGTAGTGCAAAAAACATTTAAAAACAGTACAATAATTAAAATGAAGAACAATTTTAACAAATATAAACTGATTAGTATTTCAAGGGGAAGTGTGGGCCTGCTTTTGGCTGATGAGATAGGATTGTTGTTGTTCTTGTGTGCTTTCAAGTCGTTTCAGACTTAGGTTGACCCTTAGTGAGGGCCAGATAAATGACCTTGGAGGGCCGTATCCGGCCCCTGGGCCTTAGTTTGAGGACCCCTGTTTTAAGCTATGGCTGGATGATTGTAAAAAGGTTACACAAGGAAAGATTTTCTTCACTTCTCAGTAGCATGTGAGCTCAGCTTCAAAGCCATTAAGGAAATAACATTTTTGCAAGTGGCATAAGAGTTTTGGTTTGTTTCTTTAAAAAAAAATGCCTTGTTTTTTCAAAGGATAGTTAAATTTGTTGTCCATTCCTTGTATAGACTTTTCTCTGTTTCTATCCATATCTTTGCTGGTTTAGTTTCTTCCTTAATTATACTGATCTATAATTAAGTTTTCTAGTTGTAATTAAAGCTCGTAGTAACCATTCCTGACGGTTGCATCTATCTAGGCTGACATCTGGAGAGGCAGATCCAGGAACACAAGTCTTTCAGGAAGAGTGTAATCCCATCCAGAACTGGTTGACGCACCTCCAACCCATAATACTTAACACCTCTGTCGAATCTGAATTTAGTTGCAATTTATTTTTCTTCATTCAGCCCATTCCCTCCTCTAGGAATTCATTTTTACTCGTAGGTTTCCTATACATTAACAAGAATCCTTTCAATAACTTACGTACATTCTTGCTTGTGGCCACATATGTGTTTTAAAAGGAGTTATCCAGTTTTTCCTAAAATGTTTTATTGATAATTGCAAAATAATATACAATCTAAATGAACAGCAAAGTGTGCTTATGGCACTTTAAAATGTGAGGTGTTTGTGATACTGTCCTGGACTACTGTCTTCATCAGGTATATCTGATCCACCTTTGGAAACTATTTCATGTGCATATTTGCATTAATTTGCTCACAAAAATCAGATTTTTCCTGTTATCATAGACATTTTTATTGTACTGCCAATACCTTTCAACACTAATCTTACCCTTTCTTTTCTTCGTCTTAGTTTTGAATGGGAAAGTTCATATTCGTGACTGGAGAGAAGCCAAACCACCAAGGAAAAACAGGCCAGCAAATCAGGTTAAACAACGACTTCCTTCTAAAACATTTAAAACCCGCCTGTGCTGGTTTTACGTTCACCATCCGCAGGGTTGTCCACTGACTTCAGAATCATGTAATTATGCTCATGGGACAGAAGAGCTAAAACCAATTCTGTTTGCACCAAGGAAAAATAAAGGAAATCAATAAAAAGTTTGTAACCCAGTTTACTCAGATGGAATTTTGATTTTGTTTCGTGCATTAGCAGATGTACTCATCTTAATTGCATGGTGGTGGCACTTTCAATTCATGCAACAATGAGATTGTGTCACATTCTTGTGTGAGAGAAAAAAGATTGTGAAATCCCATTTCTTGAACTTCTGTAGTTTACCCTCCTAATCATATAGAGCAGTGGTTCTCAACCTGTGGGTCCCCAAGTGTTTTGGCTTATAAATCCCAGAAACCCCAGCCAGTTTAGCAGCTGTTAGGATTTCTGGGAGTTGAAGGCCAAAACATCTGGAGACCCACAGGTTGAGAACCACTGATATAGACATTACTTTGTTTTTAAAAATGCAAACTTTGTAACCCTCCAAATTCTCACTGCAAGGCTTGTCCCCCTTTTGATCTGCTACACCTGCAAATGCTTATATCTCAGAACTCGTATGTCTCCAGAATTACCTTTTTGTTAGGGCAAGTGCCATCATACAACCTTTCAGTGTACTGTATCTTGCCATTCCTGTTGCTTATTTGGTAGTTGGGTTTTTTGTTTTTGTTTTGGGTTGTTGTAGGTTTTTTCGGGCTATATGGCCATCGTCTAGAGGCATTCTCTCCTGACATTTCGCCTGCATCTGTGGCAAGCATCCTCAGAGGTAGTGAAGTCTGTTGGAACTAGGAAAAAGGCTTTATATATCTGTGGAATGACCATGGTGGGACAAGGGACTCTTGTCTGCTGGAGCTGGGCGTGAATGTTTCAACCGACCACCTTGATTAGCATATAATGGCCTGAAAGTGCCTGGAGCAAACTTTTTGTTTTGTTTTGTTTTGCACTGTTACAATTGGTACTTTTGCTGTGTTCCTTCTCCACAGTATACAAAATGTTCTATTGGGATTACCTGTTGATACAGTGTTATAGAGGAAAATAGCAATTAGCACTGTTCACTACTAAAATCAAAGTTTCTAATATGTCTCTTGAACAGAAACATAGAACCATATGTGCAAACCCAATGGAATGGAATAAGTGAAGTGTGTTCTTGGAGGAAACCATATTGTTGGAAGCTAAGCTGGTTTTTGTGCAACTTGTTGTGTGCTTCAAATTGTTTCTGACCTACGATGACACTAAGGTGAACCTATACCACAGTTTTCTGGGGCGAAGAATGTATAACTTGCCCAAGGTCGCCCAGTGGGTTTCCATGCCCAAACAGCGAATCAAACCTTAGTTTTCAAATTTATCATCAACTGTTTAAACCACTATATGGATAGAGATCAGTACATGTTTTGAATTATGACTGCAATCTGAACAATGCCATATTTTGCCCACAAGGCTATGGGCATAACTATATCTCCACAAAGTTACCTGGGCTTATTGGTACTGCATGTTCCCCCCCCCCCCCCCCAAAAGCAAAAGCAAAGCATTCACAATTTGCCTATAAATGCCCTAAATTACCAGAAGTAAAGCTGCCTTAGTTTTTAGTTTTTGCTGCACTTACCTTTTACTTCTCTTTTCCTTTCCGTTATCTCTTCTTTTTGGTATAACTGTTTACCCTTTGTTCTTACTAACATGCTGATTCAAAGTTCAGAGTTCTTTTTTTTCAAATATATATTTTTATTCAGGATATTAAAGATATTGAAAATATAGAGGAAAGAAGAGGTTGGGGATTTAGGGGATCACACCATCGTTCTCCCACTTTATATGTAAAAGGGTTTCTTTTTTCCCTCTCCTCTCTTGTGGACCCCCCTCCCCAAAGTTCAGAGTTCTGATTGAGATGAAATCCTCATTTTTTTCATAATAATGCACCTTTTTATTTAGTATATCTGACAGAAATTTCAGGACACCACCCACTATTTTTTATTATTTATTTATTTATTTATTTATTTATTTAAAACTTTTATATCCCGATCTTCTCTACCTCTGTCAGACCGGCTAACAGCAAAGATTCAGTGCTAACACTGAAAATATAAAACATAATACACAAAATTAAGTTACCAATTACATAAATTACATAAAATTACATAAAAGCCGTTCACCAGGATAAAATCGGGTCCAACTCAGTCCGTATGTCCAGTCCATATATTGTGATCAGTACCATTAGTCAATTGCCGGTCTCAGACGTCATCCCACAAAGAGTTCTGGGATGCATTTCCTTTCTATCTAAAGATTTAGAAAAGTAAATTACTTGATATATTTGTAACTAGGTATACCTTATGTATTGTAATTTATTTTAATATAGTCTGACATCTTTGCTAATAATGGCTCCTGAATAGTGTATACTCCACACTTTCCAATGTTTGAATTGGCATATTTTATTATTAAATGTAAATTAAAGTGGCAGAGTAATGTGCAGATAGGAGAGGGTTTTGAAACCAGTTGTTTCTTCCACATAAACAAAAAACCTTAAAAGGGGGGAATTTTTAAATATAACTCCTGAATTTGCCAAGTTATGTTGCACTTTTTTTGAGAAACAACTCCACCTGCAACATCCACTTCTGTAGTTCAGGGAATTTCTCAGAACTTTAAGGTAAAGAGAGGAATAACTTTCAGACCACTTGAATTTTTATTGCTGTGACTTCTCCTTACTTGCTTACTTATTCATTCATTCATTCCTAGCTAGACAAACAACTGTGGATAAGACACCTAGTAATAGTGACCAGTGCAACACAGAAAACAGAAGAAATGTCTCACTGAGTCCAATGGCTAACTGACAACATGGGTTCAATGATCAGTTATGACATTCTCTCCTCAAAGTCATCAGCCAGTCAGGATTCAAGAACACAAACCTAAGAAAATCCAAGGGTTTTAGAAACTGTTACCTGAAGAAGAATTGAGTCAATCCAAACATATTAGGCTTGCTTTTCTGATAGGCTACATACAAAAGAAGGACAAGAAATGTACTATATCTTCTTGTAAGGAGTGGATCAGTTTAAATAATATTTACCACCTCTTTTACCACCAAAGGGGCTGTAGAGGGGGGCTGTGTCTTGTGAGTATCTTCCTTGAAGTCGGACACAGGCTGCAGGTGGCTCCCCAGTTTCCAGAGCAGTCCCCCATTTCTTTCCATTTTGAAACGATCCAATCTTAATTTTCTTCTCCCTCCGCACTGTAGAGGTATGACACATTCATCACTCCCTGTGCTACTTCAGGTTGGGCTTCACCATCTGGAAGCCTTATCCTAAATCCTCATTGAACTTTAGAGAAAGCATAGGACGCCTTGTCCTATGCAACAAAGTATCCTACTGGTTTACTGTGACTCACTTCTTTTTTACCCAGATGCATCACAGTCTTTTCGGGGAAGGATATCTCTCTGTTTTGCCAGCTATGAGCCTTTTAAAAACGAATCCATCAGCATATTTGAACTGCGAGTCATTGACCCGCCTGATTTTTGTTAACTTGCAAGCATAAACACAATTGTTCACACTGTATTGCTGCCAATGCCCTATCAGCCAAACAAGGCCAGCACTTCCCCCAGATATATTTGCTGAAATATTCAAAACTAGGAGAAAACACTGAGAAGTAATGTAGCAAGAATGTTAATGCATTTTGGGGAAGCTTGCCTGTTGTATATCTGAAGGGTTCAAGACATTGGTAATTTAGGATGGGAAACTGAAGCCCCTTCCACACCACCCTATATTCCAGGATCTGATCCCGGATTATCTGGCAGTGTAGACTTCTATAATTCAGTTCAAAGCAGATAAGTAGGGATCCGATCCTGGGATATATGACAGTGTAGCTCAAGCCTGACTCACCAAAGGGCATAGGTTGAATTTTATGGCTGCAGAAGATAGAATGAGCCCTGTCAGAGCTGGAGAAGGTAGAAGGAAGAAGAGGCAGGGAGAGATGGAGGAAGGAGGAATGGAAGGAGCCACAGGGAGAGCCTTGTTGCCATGGAAACAGTGTGACGTACTCCCTCCCAGAGCTGCAGAAGAGAGGATGAGGAAGGGGAAGGAGGAAGGGAGGGAAAAAGGGAGAGGGAAGGAGGGAAGGACGGATCCACAAGGAGAGCCATGCTGCCATGGAGGCAATGTGAGTTAGGCCCTGTCAGAGCGGGATAAGGGAGAAGGAGGAAGGGGAGGGAGGGATGGAGGAAGCAGGGATGGAAGTGGGACCGAGCGCGGAGCTCCCTGCCTTCAAGCTGAGCTGACCTGCAGCAGGGAGTTCCGCAGATATACAATGCCCCGCTTGGGCCAACTGCATGAACGTGGCCACAACAGCAGCTACAGCTCAGAAGCCTTTTCATTTCTTTGCTTTCCCCCCTTCCTAACATTGTAACTAATCCCCCCTCCATAGTGTTACATTGTGTCATTTTACTGCCTCAAATTTTCCTTCTAATAAATCTTTCCTCTCCCGGGCTGCAGACAGCTGCCAGCCCTCCTGGGATGTGATTCTCCCATCCCAGGGAGGCCGAAACTGCGTTCCCTTAAACCTCGGATACAGAAACCCCTCGGGCCCCCATATCCGCAAGTTAACGGATCACTTCAAAAACGGTGCCAATCTTCTGGGAGAATTCTAAGACTAATGGCTATCTCGGTTTCGCTCCGCTGTCCTTTCCGCCCAAGGAATAACCCTTTTTGTCGCCAAAACCATGCCATGTTTTTCCAAAGACATTGCCTCGCTGCCACCATTTTGTGGATATCCAAGGAGCCTGCCGATTCCAGCGGACTGTCGCAGTTAACCCATGGAACCCCTAAAATGGAGGTGGGCCGCCTTGGTCCTTGATGTGAAGGGATCTGTAGTTCTCCAGAATTTGATCTTCAGTGTTGGTGGATGATTATAAGGACTCAGTGGACACTTGGACACCTTTCTCCACTTGCCCTTTTCTGGATTTTACAACGTTGGACAACTTTCTTAAACTTTCAAGGAACTTTGCAAACTTTATGGAACTTTCCCCAAGCCCTATGGACTCTCTTCTCATGATCAAGTGATATTATGATTTTATGCTTATGGACTTTTCTCTTCTTTTGGACTCTGGTGGGTGGGATGGGTATATGAAATTCCCTCTATGTCTTATTAT